ACTTTACATTTCTCCATCTTCTGCCGTCCTCTCAGACACTCTATGACCCAAAGCCTCGTATCATCATGGGCGATTTACATCGGCAGAATCCCCCCTGGGCCAGTCACCACAGTAAGAGGGAGATGACTCAATACTTTATTTCAAACAACGATGAATGTATACTAGTATACAATGACGTTTCGCGTATTTACTTCCTGGTGAGGAAGATACCCATAAACAGAGTTGTCAACAGCAGACTCATATCTACTGATATATTCCATTGGTCAAACCTCTGTGGAAGTGGCCATTTTCCAACGATGTAAAACCTGTTACCCCATCAATATTTCTCCATCAACAAGATGGAACTTTTCAAAAGCCACCTGGCCTTAGTGTAAATACTTTATTGAAAACCTCATTATTTTATTGATATTCCTAACCAATACAATCACTGGCTGATGAACTGAATGAAGTAGCCGATGCGTGTACATGTAAAATACTGAATATAATTTCAGTCGCCTACTGTCGCTCATAATTTGAATATCATTTTAAATGTTAAAACACGGCGTACCTTTAAACACAGTAAACGCCAGACTTGGCAAACTAACGTCTCAAAAATAAATACACATACGCCATATCTAAGCCACTGGAGCTAATAATGAACAATATCAACTCTTGAAATATTTAGCATAATTCTTTGTTAATATTCGTCAGGAACGCCAGGAACGTCAGGAACGCCAGGACAATTTCCGTCTTCATACAGTGATGCCATAGTTGCCCGGGCGGGATCATACTGATCCCTCAAATTATCGATCAGTAAACCAACTGATAAAACTAATTCTTGCAAACATCCGCTCTTTATTGACACTGCTGAACTTTGTAATGATCTGTCATCTGGCCAAGACGACATCGTGTTTTGTTGGTTACCAGCCATGTCGGCATCATTGGTAACACGATGGTCGATGCTGCAGCACAGACAGGACACAACAACTTTGTAAAATCATGTCTGATTCAAATCAGAGATTGTTAACCTGATCAGAGGTCTAATGCAAAATAAATGAGACATACAATTAGATAATATCAAATTACATGAAACTTCACAACTATAGGGTTATGAATCCAAATTGTCACAGTGTGATCTATTTAATGTTATGAAACCGGTTGCAAAAGTATAACTGAATTGTATAATACTAGTTATTATACTCACTCACACATTATCAGATAGAAACTAACCAACAGTTAATGACTGAATGTTTTAACGCAGATGTCAACAGTTATATCGCGGCGTGTCAACTTCATGTGGGAGGAAAGCCCGAAATGATGCAGGTCTTAGACGTTTACCACTTAGATGAAACACGCGATCACGGGTATGGTGCTTACAAACCTAGAAACATAATCGGGGTGAACCGAGATTCGAACCCACAATGGTAAGTTTCTGGTGTGGCCAAGGGACGCAACTCTGCGCAGCCTATTGCGACCCCTGATGACTGAGCCACCTGTCCCTCCACACAACAGCTCAAGCAGTGGAAACACATAACGGTCCTCCTCCTCCTCCTCCTTTGGGATTCCAAAGAAATCTTACTGGGGGACAACCTCCCGAAGGTCAGACTACTAACGGCATGCTAACCTGCTCAGGCAACTGTGTAAGAATATCAAGGCTCATCGTCGTGGTCAACTCACTAAAGGTGTGTTATCCCACAATGACAGTACACCTTGCACAAGTCTGATGTCGCCGTGGCTGCAATGCATGATTGTGGCTTTAAACTCGTTGAACATTCTCCGTATTTACCAGATTTAGTACCGTCCTATTTCCACCTCTTCCCAAACTTGAAGGAAGAACGGTCTGGCAAGCGTTATGCAAATGATGTTGACGTCATGTCTACTGTTCTGTGGGAACTTTTTAAACCACAAGGATGACACTTACATCAGTGGGATCCATCGTTGGCAGAAGATTGTAAACCTTGAAAGGTAATTAGCAACCAAACCCATTAACGCAGTCCACCATAGTTCGACTAGGAACTTTACAGCCAACCCTCGTACAATGTGATGTGTGAAGACGTATTGCTCCACGGGCTGTACTTAAAGGTTCATTAAGCCTAAGCTCATGTTGGGATCACCATTTAGTTTAGTAATGGATATTTTCACGCACGACAGCACCATATATTCTATAATGGGATTTGATTTCCCTTTTCAAACTTCCAATAAGAAAATACAAATGGGAAATTCTACATTTCCCTCAACACCTATACGTCGTGCAGGCCATAGCGGGGGGTTCAGTAAATGTCAGCAAGGAAGTCAGACTCAGACTGCTCCGTGAAAAACCAGAGCCATGTGGCAGTCAGTCGGACAGAGTGCATGGCACGACACTGGCTACAGATGTCTGGCTTCATACTGGGAAACAAGTCTTACATCTAGGTACGGGTGGAAGACGGAGACAAACGTGTCAGCCTTCATACTGGGACACAAGTCTTACACCTAGGTACGGGTGGAAGACGGAGACACAGGTGTCAGGCTTCATACTGGGACACAGGTCTTACACCTAGGTACGGGTGGAAGACGGAGACACAGGTGTCAGGCTTCATACTGGGACACAGGTCTTACACCTAGGTACGGGTGGAAGACGGAGACACAGGTGTCAGGCTTCATACTGGGACACAGGTCTTACACCTAGGTACGGGTGGAAGACGGAGACACAGGTGTCATACGGGGGCATATGTTAAATATTGATTAATACTGAATACTTCCGAATGTAGCGTGAACCATCATTAACTTGTGTCGCTGACTCGTTGAAGTCGACGAAAGCGCAACATGTCTTAACATTATCTGTTTTCTGACCAGGACCTAGGGGAACCTATCATGCACATTATACATTGCGGCATAAAACTATACTCATCACGTCGCCAAACATTCAAGCATGAATCAGCATTTGTATGGTCATATAATATTGTAACGGATGTCTAACCGATAATGTTCCTCACTGAAACACTTTGCTCGATTAACAACTCCGTAACAACACAATAACGTCTTGTGTAACTTGAGATACACACGATACAATTACATGACATATCACTCCATCTCGTGCATGGTCATGTCCCTACAGTCTGGTCGTGTGTGTCATGTCCATACAGTCTGGTCGTGTGTGTCATGTCCAAACAGCCTGGTCGTGTGTGTCATGTCCCTACAGTCTGATCGTGTGTGTCATGTCCCTACAGTCTGGTCGTGTGTGTCATGTCCATACAGTCTGGTCTTGTGTGTCATGTTCATACAGTCTGGTCGTGTGTGTCATGTCCATACAGTCTGGTCGTGTGTGTCATGTCCATACAGCCTGGTCGTGTGTGTCATGTCCCTACAGTCTGGTCGTGTGTATCATGTCCCTACAGTCTGGTCGTGTGTGTCATGTCCATACAGTCTGGTCGTGTGTGTCATGTCCCTACAGTCTGGTCGTGTGTATCATGTCCCTACAGTCTAGTCGTGTGTGTCATGTCCATACAGTCTGGTCGTGTGTGTCATGTCCATACAGTCTGGTCGTGTGTGTCATGTCCATACAGTCTGGTCGTTTGTGTCATGTCCCTACAGTCTGGTCGTGTGTATCATGTCCATACAGTCTGGTCGTGTGTGTCATGTCCCTACAGTCTGGTCGTGTGTGTCATGTCCCTACAGTCTGATTGTGTACAACATGCAATGTCCCTATGATCTGGTCATGTCCCTATGATCTGGTCATGTCCCTATGATCTGGTCGTGTGCAACTTGTCATGTCCCTATGATCTGGTAGTGTCCCTATGATCTGGTCGTGTGCAACATGTCATGTCCCTATGATCTGGTTGTGTGCAACATATCATGTCCCTATGATCTGGTCATGTCCCTATGATCTGGTCATGTCCCTATGATCTGGTTGTGTGCAACATGTCATGTCCCTATGATCTGGTCATGTCCCTATGATCTAGTCATGTCACTATGATCTGGTTATGCCCCTATGATCTGGTTGTGTGCAACATGTCATGTCCCTATGACCTGGTCGTGTGCAACATGCCTTGTCCCTATGATCTTGTCGTGTGCAACATGTCGTGTCCCTATGACCCTATGATCTGGTCTTGTCCCTGGTCATGTTGTGTGCAACATGTCATGTCCCCATAGTCTGGTCGTGTCCCTATGATCTGGTCATGTCCCCATAGTCTGGTCGTGTCCCTATGATCTGGTTGTGTGTAACATGTCATGTCCCTATGATCTGGTTGTGTGCAACATGTCATGTCCCTATGATCTGGTCATGCCCCCATAGTCTGGTCGTGTCCCTATGATCTGGTCATATCCCTACAGCCTGGTCCTATGCCTGTGCAACGTGTCATATGTAGTGTGTATCTCATTTGTCACTCAACAATCATTTCGGCTGTCTGTCGACTTCCAGTTACTTCACAGCATCGATCAGGGACACTGTTGTGTTTTGGCGCCTAAGACAAGGATTCTGATCAAACACCAATGGTTTAGTTGTATGGTGTGATGCCTGTCAACATTTAGATTTACAGGGAGTTGATATATTTGAGGTCCATTTAGATTTACAGGCAATTGATATACTCGGGTGCACATTTATATTTACAGGTAGTTGATATACTTGGGTGCACATTTAGATTTACAGGGAGATGAAATGCTGGGTTGCAAAAGTATATTTACAAGGAATTAATATACCAGATCGCACATGTATGTTTACAAGGAGTTGAGAGGTTTCACATGTAGATTTACAAGGATGCTGGGTTTCACATTCAGATTTACAAGGATGCTGGGTTTCACATTCAGATTTACCAGGATATATATATATATATATATATATATATATATATATATATATATATATATATATATATATATATGTGTGTGTGTGTGTGTGTGTGTGTGTGTGTGTGTGTGTGTGTGTGTAGGTGTGCCCTATTCTGGGTGACTAAATAATGTCTTCCATCACAATGCAGGAGCGCGTCGGTGACGGTCATCATCCTCACAACGCAGCCAGCAATACGACACCGGTCACAGTTGTCCGCCTCAGCTGAACGTACCTGAATTCTCTGCTACACGAGTCGATGTATGGAGCCTTCGAGACGTGCTGCAAGCAATGCGAGTGTCTTCAATGAATCATTTACCTTCAGGCTCCTAGGCATCGGAACGCGTCACTGGAAGATGCCGCTCAGGTGAAACAGCGGCTGCATGTTGCAGGTAGGAATTCCTGGTCCTAGTCAGTTGTTACAGTAGCGTTCCCGTCACATGGGAGACGACAGGGGCAATCTGTAGTCAGCATGTAGGTGCCCGAGGGACGTCAAGTCGTTGTTTACATCTGTGTTATTTAAATAAATCTGAACGACGGGAATAGACGATGCATCTGGTTACATGTATTTCTTCCCCTTCATGAGACGCAGACTGCTATGTACAGTAATGCTTCCTTAACAAGTTGCAACTATGCAGAGGATCTTGTATATGTAATCAAGTTCGTATTAATTCGTCATTTTGTATTATGAATTGACAGTAAAATGTTGGTATGTTTGTTAGTTGGGTACATGAGGTATTCTGTTAACGAAGAGCAGTTTGAAACATCCTCCTGATGAACTGCACCTACGTGCAGCTTTAATATCTTGTTGCCAGTTTCAGCTGACGTGATATGATACTCTTTGATATAAAATCAATACGATTGTTCTTCCAGATGATTGTGTCAGTTTGATTTCCGTGCCTGGAAGGCTCATGCAAAAAAAAATATTGAGTTGTCACTGGTGTCTGACATGCCGGCCACAGAGACGTCGAAGTTGTCATTGTAATACGAAGCAAAGAGTCTATTTTGATTTTATGAATGACACTGAAAAAAGGGCAAAACTCGCTTATATAGTTTTATAATACAATGCATTCATTGACCAATTAGACCCGTGAAGATCCGGGGTAGAATCTTCAGCAACTCATGCTTGCCGTAAGAGGCGACTAACGGGATCGGGTGGTCAGGCTCGCTGACTTATTTGATGCGTGTCGTCGTGTCCCAATTGCGTGGATCGATGCTCATGGTGTTCTGGTCCGTACTCGATTATTTACAGTTCGCCGTCATACAGCTTGAATATTGCTGAGTGCAGCGTTAAACAACAAACAAAGAAACAAACAAACATGTTATATTTAGAGTCAATAATATGTGCCATTTTTTCTTTCACTCTCCTTCACTGTTCGACGTAGACTTTAACTCAAACTCTCGGCCCTGACATCCAGAGTCGCGTAGACTTTAACCTAAATTCCTTTAATTTAATGTACAATAGATAGGCTGTGCGTTTTCTGGAGTTATAGAATAATCGACGGCATATGCTGACGCCCGAAAGGCTGCAGTCATGTGTTTTGTGTATGGATTCAGTTGTCGGTGTCCAGTCTAGAAGTCTACAGTCTCTGAATGATGTCTTCCTCACATAATGCTAACGCATGGAAACACTCGTACGATATCGCTGGTTGTCAAACAGGAATATGACTGCTGCACAAAAGGTCAAGTAAAGTCATAGGGCATACTTAATCACAAATGCTTGACCAAAAATAAATTTAAAATCGCAAATAGCGTTTAAAAAGATGTTTAAAAAAGGATCTCGAAGTCGTCCCCTAAACGAAAAATTCCGCCTGTAAGGGGAATTCTCTTGGTGGGCTTTACACCTGTTCCAGCTGTTTGAGGCGCTGCGCAATTCCAACGATCGGGCCCGTGCCTAGTCTGCCTGGTGGTTTATTGGGGGTCTTATTGCTTCTCCAGCACCTATTGTTATAATTCACCCGAAGGTTATTGATAAGACAATTGGGGATAAAGCGGGGCACATATGACACAACTAATTGGTGAACTATATTCACATATACCGTACTGAGTGAAAACTTTAAAAATATATATCAGTGAGTGTTCAGTATCGTGTATCACTTTGTCCAGTATTCATAGACGAAAACTAAACCTTATGACCATTTATAAAGCCGCATTTAGCCTGGACGGTATCTGTTCATTTATGTCGGAATTTGCGGGACATAATCGCATCCTGGAAACGAAACGTTTTCAGGAACACACAGATAGGCTCTATATCTCTCAGCCAATGATTAATTCATCTGTTATGTGCTTTGCGAAAGCAAGCGATTACGGGGTCGAGCCATGATCATACTTAAACTCAGGGATGTCGAAATGTGTTTAGCTCCCATGTTCTATCGACCACGCCCATTGAGTAGCGTCCTAAGTATACCGAGGACCACCTAATTACACAACTCATGATCGCCATTGTCATTGTGAGAGGTAATAGCCGTCAAATGTACTTGTCTACTTAAACGATGGTTGATTGGGATTTTACATGACCTGTAATCCGCACTGATATGACGGTGCTCTGACATCTCCGTGTATTGAATATACTTACTGAAAGCTCATAATGAAGGCGTTGGTTACCTGTTGAATTGGGTCTGACTTTAGTTGTTGAATTTTCAGGAAAGGGTCATGACAGAACAAGACGAAGCATTGATGTATTGTGCAAACAAGGGAGATTCGTGAGGATAAGACACGCCGACAGAAGGGCGCTACACATGTAGAAGAGACGGCAATTGCTGCAGAACAAGGCGGAATGTAAGCTTTGGACTCATAACATAACGTTGACAGATATCGGCTACAGGATAGTCAATCTCATGGACATAGGCGTGCAACACTTGAGCAACACTTTCCTATTGGAAACTGTCAAGGAAGGTATCAACGCACTTCCTTGACAAGTAAACAGTGACAGTCCAGACGTCTGTTGACCCTTGTACATTCACACGAAGAGCGGGAGCTGAATCACAACCTGGCACACTGTGGACAGTGACAGTCCAGACGACTGTTGACCCTTGTACATTCACACGAAGAGCGGGAGTTGAATCACAACCTGGCACACTGTGGACAGTGACAGTCCAGACGACTGTTGACCCTTGTACATTCACACGAAGAGCGGGAGTTGAATCACAACCTGGCACACTGCGGACAGTGACAGTCCAGACGACTGTTGACCCTTGTACATTCACACGAAGAGCGGGAGTTGAATCACAACCTGGCACACTGTGGACAGTGACAGTCCAGACGACTGTTGACCCTTGTACATTCACACGAAGAGCGGGAGTTGAATCACAACCTGGCACACTGTGGACAGTGACAGTCCAGACGACTGTTGACCCTTGTACATTCACACGAAGAGCGGGAGTTGAATCACAACCTGGCACACTGTGGACAGTGACATGTTCCACCCACAGTGCTGGACGCCAGCCTTTAACAAGATTGAAATGTCAGTGACCATGAACCAGTTGATGAACCAGTTAAACAGACGACTGCATGACATTTTTGCACAGTGCCATGTAGAGTTCTACAGGACACAGGAGTTTGTTTCTCACTGACATATAGACGTCTGTGGGACACAGGAAATTGTTGCACAGTGACACGTAGACGTCTATAAAACACAGGAGTGTGTTGCGCAGTGACGTAGAGATCTACATGACACAGGAGTTTGTTGCACAGTGACACGTAAACGTTTATAAAACACAGTAGTTTGTTGCACGGTGACGTAGAGTTCAACAGGACACAGGAGTTAGTTGCGCAGTGACGTAGAGTTCAACAGGACACAGGAGTTTGTTGCGCAGTGACGTAGAGTTCAACAGGACACAGGAGTTTGTTGCGCAGTGACGTAGAGTTCAACATGACACAGGAGTTTGTTGCGCAGTGACGTAGAGTTCTACATGACACAGGAAATTGTTGCACAGTAAAACGTAGACGTCTATAAAACACAGGAGTTTGTTGGACAGGGACGTAGAGTTCTACAGGACACAGGAGTTTCACACAGTGGCACGTCGAAGTTTGACTTCTGCCAAACCAGTGTTTGTATTGATTATTGAAAAGAATGTTCTTGTTTGACAAGCGTCTGATCAGCAGTTTAGGAGCGTGTATAGGAGTCTGTCAAGAAGTGCATGCAGTCCATACAGACTAGCGTCTCATACACAGCCTGGGGCTGCTCGCCAGCCACGTTCTCCTCCAATGGCCATGACTTCCTCTGATGAGGACACCATCATCATCCTGTCTACTCACTATGTGAGGGACCCCAGGGAGAGACTGGTCTCCACTGAATCCACAACCCAGGTGACGGTGGGGCGGACGCGCCGGGAGACGTTGATAGCTCGAGCAGTCGCCGTGGTGTCGTTGTCTCTTCTCACTATCAGTGTGCTGTTGGTGATGGTGTCGTTAATCATGTCTCATCATATAGATCAGTTAGGTAAGTACTGTTATATTTTACGTCATACAAATGGTGAAAAGTAATACAACAAGCGATGTGTAGTGCATGTGTACTTGTATGCATATGTACTGCGTATATATTGCTTCTCCCTGCCTGTCCCAAATTTGAAAAAACGTGACATTTGGCGACATGAACATGATTATAATAGAGTTGGTATATACTGCCCAGGAAAAAAACGATTTTCTTTATATTTGGTCGAGTTATATTCATTCTTAATCATTCTGACATTCGGTTTGAGAGTTATACATAATTCAGTAACATATTGAGTGTATTATTACAACTTTGTACAGGTGATTTATTGATTGATATGGAGCGTTATGGAGTGTTTCAACCCTTGCATTACAAACTGGGTGTAATATTTCAAGTTTGAACAGGTGAAATGGCAATTCTAAGTCAGTATGAAGCGTTATGCATCGTCAAATAATACAGTAAAAATCCGTAGCATCTGTAAAGATGAAGAAAGTCTTTTTAAAATATTGAAAAATGGTTAAAGCTCTGTGTATATATTCCTCTGCATTGAGTGAGAGCGTTGGGTGTCGTGGCTCTGTCCCTAATATCCCATAGTCATGTTGGAAAGAAATCCCCAATAGGCGCCTAAGGTGTTGACACAAAGTACTAGGTACAAAAAGTGTATGGTGTATCGATACTGAAAATGATAAATCTATTTCTATAATCGTCAGAAATGATACGAGGTGTTCGCGAATGCGTGAGGATGTCCTGTCCCACAGATGGCACCCGTCACAAACACATGCAAAGACAAGTCAATATTACACCTGAAAAAATACGGGAACATATGGTACACGTCAAAATCGGACATCATTTGTGTCACTGATGCGTCAAATTTGGAAATGTCCTCTACGTGTCTGCCATAAAACGTTTTGAAATCTTCATTGAGGCCATGGATGTTGTAACCCTGATCAAACAACTTTTGTGCAAGAGTCGCGCGTCGCTCTTTAAAAATCAACTTTGAAAGCATCTGCTCGATTGTACGTCAAAAGTTGTGAAAAGTAAAAACCTGAGGCTGCAGCTGATGGAATATTGCTCGACATAAAGGGGACGTTGACTATTGGAAAGTAGAAGTCATCCCTCTTTTCAGTGTTGTGGAGAGTGTTTTTTCACTGTGAATCCTTCTGTATAGACCTAACTATGGAACATATGGGGCAGTCTCACTAGTTTCCTTTATGTTTGGTTCAGGCGGGAAATCAGCGGAAAGGAATTGATTATTTTATGGTTATTGAAAGACATCAGATCCTCGATATACCTGAAGTTTATTTAATAAGTAAAACTTGTTTACTTTGTTTTGACTTTTTTTGGAATGTTTTGACTGGCCAATCCGACCGGAAAGACCGATTAATGTGCATTAAGAAACAGAAAACAGAACCCTAAGACGGGAAGCACGACTGGTGCCCGGGGGAATGCCTGCTTCGTGTCTCAATGTCTTGTCTCACAGATGTTATCAATGAGGAAGTCCAGCTTTTCACATATTGCTTGAGGTTTTCAGAATTCACACAGTAATATAATTCCTTTGGTGGTACATTTTCTGGATCTAGCAATATATCCTCTTTGTGCGGACTTTGATGTAGCTTTACAATCCAGTACAAAAGAGGAATGTACATGTGTCCGAGTTTTATGGTTTTGGCAGATTTCTTCCTCACTTAACATGCTAGCCTTATATGTGGCATTATTTGAAATGTCACTTATTTCAAGTTCTTTGATCAAACAATTCAGGTACTGATGAAAGATTGAGGGACATTTCGGGAAACTGATTCTTTCTTTTGTCTGAGAATGTAACTTACGTTAAAATCCTCAATCCTCTTGTTTTGAAATTTCAAATTTAGAAGACCGCGGTGTTTTCATGATTTTGGCCAAACGCTTGAAAGCAATATCAAAAACTATACTCTCTAGTCGATACTGTGGGTTCTTACCGTTTATAGACCCGACCATCAACAAATGCTGCTGGAGTCGTTTGATTGTTCAAAGAGAACAACAGAAATGCCGTCAATAGAACGGATAACGTAACTACTTTACTGCAGGTCCTTCCGCATATTGACTATTCGAGCAAGTGCATAACATAAAATAATATATCGATAAATCATGAATAATCAAATGTAATGTCATGAACTTCTACAGTAAGACCCCCATCTACATACTGCTGAGGACCAGTATTCTACACGCGTCAATAAGTGCGACGATGTATTATGTCTGGACTGATATTATAGTAACTGTAATTCATTAGTAAATACAAAACGTCAACGCCAGGGAATAATACTCGATTATCAGCAGAAAAAGATTCTACTGGACGCAACAGGCAAAACAGCGGTGAAAACTGTTTGAATGTACCACTGAAAATAGTGCTGAAAGGTTTTCGTCAAAAGGGTAAGCATGTACCGGCCTTTCGGTGGCACCCGCCACTCACACAATTTGCATACAAAAGAAAGTATTCATTGCCTGACGCCGCACAACATTAACCCTGCTGTGCGACGGCGGCCTGTAAACAAATCTGACAATCAAGTGATTGATGAGCACAAAAACAACGGGAGGACAAACACAGAGTGATGAGTGACAGAGCGACAGAGGGCAAACACACTGTGATGAGTGACAGAGCGACAGAGGGCAAACACACTGTGATGAGTGACAGAGCAACAGAGGGCAAACACACTGTGATGAGTGACAGACTGACAGAGGGCAAACACACTGTGATGAGTGACAGAGCAACAGAGGGCAAACACACTGTGATGAGTGACAGAGCAACAGGGGGCAAACACACTGTGATGAGTGACAGAGCAACAGAGGGCAAACACACTGTGATGAGTGACAGAGCGACAGAGGGCAAACACACTGTGATGAGTGACAGACTGACAGAGGGCAAACACACTGTGATGAGTGACAGAGCAACAGAGAGCAAACACACTGTGATCAGTGACAGAGCAACAGGGGGCAAACACACTGTGATGAGTGACAGAGCGACAGAGGGCAAACACACTGTGATGAGTGACAGACTGACAGAGGGCCAACACTCTGTGATGAGTGACAGAGCAACAGAGGGCAAACACACTGTGATGAGTGACAGAGCAACAAGGCAAACACACTGTGATGAGTGACAGAGCGACAGAGGGCAAACACACTGTTATGAGTGACAGAGCAACAGAGGGCAAACACACTGTGATGAGTGACAGAGCAACAGGGGGCAAACACACTGTGATGAGTGACAGAGCAACAGAGGGCAAACACACTGTGATGAGTGACAGACTGACAGAGGGCAAACACACTGTGATGAGTGACAGAGCAACAGGGGGCAAACACACTGTGATGAGTGACAGAGCGACAGAGGGCAAACACACTGTGATGAGTGACAGAGCAACAGAGGGCAAACACACTGTGATGAGTGACAGAGCAACAGAGGGCAAACACACTGTAATGAGTGACAGAGCGACAGAGGGCAAACACACTGTGATGAGTGACAGACTGACAGAGGGCAAACACACTGTGATGAGTGACAGACTGACAGAGGGCAAACACACTGTGATGAGTGAAAGAGCAACAGAGGGCAAACACACTGTGATGAGTGACAGACTGACAGAGGGTAAACACACTGTGATGAGTGACAGAGCGACAGAGGGAAAACACACTGTGATGAGTGACAGACTGACAGAGGGCAAACACACTGTGATGAGTGACAGTGCAACAGGGGGCAAACACACTGTGATGAGTGACAGACTGACAGAGGGCAAACACACTGTGATGAGTGACAGAGCGCGACAGAGGGCAAACACACTGTGATGAGTGGCAGTGCAACAGGGGGCAAACACACTGTGATGAGTGGCAGTGCAACAGGGGGCAAACACACTGTGATGAGTGACAGAGCGACAGAGGGCAAACACACTGTGATGAGTGACAGAGCGACAGAGGTCAAACACACTGTGATGAGTGACAGACTGACAGAGGGCCAACACACTGTGATGAGTGACAGAGCGACAGAGGGCAAACACACTGTGGTGAGTGACAGAGCGACAGAGCGACACACTGTGATGAGTGACAGAGCGACACACTGTGATGGGTGACAGACTGACCGAGGGCATCTCACTGTATAGCATTATGTCTGGCAGCTCACTCTATAGTGTTGTGTATGTCATCTCACTGAATAGCATTGTGTCTGTCATCTCACTGTATAGCATTGTGTCTGTCATCTCACTGTATAGAATTATATCTGTCAGCTAACTGAATAGCATTGTGTCTGTCAGCTAACTGTATAGTGTTGTGTCTGTGAGCTCACTGTATAGCATTGTGTCTGTCATCTCACTGTATGGCATTTTGTGTGCCAGCTCACTGTACAGTGTTGTGTCTGTCATCTCACTGTATAGCATTGTGTCTGTCATCTCACTGTATAGCATTTTGTGTGCCAGCTCACTGTATAGTGTTGTGTCTGTCATGTCAGTGTATAACATTGTGTCTGTCATCTCACTGTATAGCATTTTGTGTGCCAGCTCACTGTACAGTGTTGTGTCTGTCATGTCAGTGTATAACATTGTGTCTGTCATCTCACTGTATAGCATTTTGTGTGCCAGCTCACTGTACAGTGTTGTGCCTGTCATCTCGCTGTATAGTATTGTGTCTGTCAGCTCACTGTATAATGTTGTGTCTGTCAGCTCACTGTACAGTGTTGTGCCTGTCATCTCTCTGTATAGCATTGTGTCTGTCAGCTCACTGTATAGTGTTGTGTCTGTCAGCTCACTGTACAGTGTTGTGCCTGTCATATCACTGTATGGCATTGTGTCTGTCAGCTCACTGTATAGTGTTGTGTCTGTCAGCTCACTGTATATTGTTGTGTCTGTCAGCGCACTGTATAGTGTTGTGTCTGTCAGCTCACTGTATAGTGTTGTGTCTGTCAGCGCACTGTATAATGTTGTGTCTTTCAGCTCACTGTATAGTGTTGTGTCTGTCATCTCACTGTACAGTGTTGTGTCTGTCAGCTCACTGTATAGTGTTGTGTCTGTCATCTCACTGTATAGTGTTGTGTCTGTCATCTCGCTGTATAGTGTTGTGTCTGTCAGCTCACTGTATAATGTTGTGTCTGTCATCTCGCTGTATAGTGTTGTGTCTGTCAGCTCACTGTATAATGTTGTGTCTGTCAGCTCACTGTACAGTGTTGTGTCTGTCATCTCGCTGTATAGTGTTGTGTCTGTCAGCTCACTGTATAATGTTGTGTCTGTCAGCTCACTGTACAGTGTTGTGCCTGTCATATCACTGTATAGCATTGTGTCTGTCAGCTCACTGTATAGTGTTGTGTCTGTCAGCTCACTGTATATTGTTGTGTCTGTCAGCGCACTGTATAGTGTTGTGTCTGTCAGCTCACTGTATAGTGTTGTGTCTGTCAGCTCACTGTACAGTGTTGTGTCTGTCAGCTCACTGTATAGTGTTGTGTCTGTCATCTCACTGTATAGTGTTGTGTCTGTCAGCTCACTGTACAGTGTTGTGTCTGTCAGCTCACTGTACAGTGTTGTGTCTGTCAGCTCACTGTATAGTGTTGTGTCTGTCAGCTCACTGTATAGTGTTGTGTCTGTCAGCTCACAGTATAGTGTTGCGTCTGTCATCTTACAGTAAAGGGTTGCGTCTGTCAGCTCACTGTATAGTGTTGCGTCTGTCAGCTAACTGAATAGCGTTGTGTCTGTCAGCTCACTGTACACTGTTTTGTGTGCCAGCTCACTGTACAGTGTTGTGCCTGTCATCTCGCTGTATAGTGTTGTGTCTGTCAGATCACTGTACACTGTTTTGTGTGCGAGCTCCAAGTATAATGTTGTGTCTGTCATCTCACTGTGTAGTGTTGTCTGTCAGATCACTGTATAGTGTTGTGTCTGTCATCGCCCTGTATAGCATTGTGTCTGCCAGCTCACTGTACAGTGTTGTGTCTGCCAGGTCCCAGTATAATGTTGTGTCTGTCAGCTCACTGAATAGCGTTGTGTCTGTCAGCTCACTGTACACTGTTTTGTGTGCGAGCTCCAAGTATAATGTTGTGTCTGTCATCTCACTGAAAAGTGTTCTGTCTGTCAGCTCACAGTATAGTGTTGCGTCTGTCAGCTCACCGTATAGTGTTGTGTCTGTCATCCCGCTGTATAGTGTTCTGCCTGTCAGCTCACTGTATAGTTTTGTGTCTGTCTGGAGGGATCCGCTGGTTGTGTATTCCATTCTTATGTTCGTTGATCGTAGGTCAGCACCATACCAAGTATTGTTACTCAACGTGGTAAACGTGCGGCCTGCGACATGAAGCTGATAGTGTAGGGTAAAACCAAAATACTGCTAAATGAACGCAACTCTCCATCACTGCATGACAATTGGGCTTGCAGACTGTTGCAGTGGCGAAATAGGAATTGCCTTATAGGAACGTTACTGCCCACGCAAAACATGAAGTCTCATTTTTAGAAATTGTCCGTCTTTGATGTAGACTATGGTTACAAAAACTAGGATTCTGTTGAAGTACGATGCTGTGTGCGTGACCACGATAATGACGTTGTGAACGTTCTCACATCGTGTGACAGATTCTGAAGCCTATACCTTATTGCTGTCACCGTACCACACGGACCCGTCAAGGTCATTCATCATCAGTGCCGATGATATCCTGGTCTGCCGTGGTCTAAGGTATCGGTTACAAGGAAATGCTTTTCTTGCATGTTCCTGGAGCCGCTGAATGGTAAACATCGCTGAGTACCTACCGTGTCGCCACTGTGAGTTAACTATCTACAGCTTACTGGGACACTGATGCCTTCAAGGCTAATATCAAACGGACAATGGGATTACGTCAGCTAGATGGTCTCAAGCTGTCGCAGAATTGCAGCATTTGTCAAGGAGGTGTGGCTGGCACTAACAGCATTCAGAGGGCACCGGTAGTCAGGATCCTGTTTGTCCGAAGACCCCGTTGATAGCATCCGGACATGTACCAAGTTCATGACTCATGTCATTGGCTTATGTTCATATCGGAATAGTGAGTGAGTTAGTGAGTTGGATTTTAGGCCGCTTTTAGCAATATTCCATCGATGTCACGGCTTGGGGACCCCAGACAATGGCTTCACACATTGTACCAATGTGGGAAATCGCTTGACGAATGAACGCTTTAACCACTAGGCTACCCCACCGCCCCTTTATATTGGAATAACTGACGTAGGTTGTTATTGTCAGCCATAGAGATGTCACCTGTAATTAAGACCAACAGATTGGAAGTAGTATGAAGAGTCTTGACAGTCACAAGTGGTGGCATTTACGTGGGCTGTTCACGTTCTGCAACACGTTCCTGTTATTGAACAGGATGAAATGGCGTTTGTATAGCCATGATGTAAAATGTACAGTAATTATTCCTTGAAGTACATCACACAGTCAAGTTCATCTGTTCTGTTCATGTTTCATCAAAGTCCGCCATTTAAATTCGCAGAATGTCTGTGTTACCATGTTCCCAGGTCTACAAGAGATATGTCTGACCGTCCCACCCATTGTCTCATTACCACCGAACTAGGTCACTGAGTCACATATATCAACAACCGCCATACGTGACAGGTGGGACGGCCAGTGTTGGCTCCGGTGAATTACACGGCAAACAAACCATGGCCGACATTGTCTTGAATATTGATAACATCGACTCGAATTGATCACTATATGTCTTTTCCCGTCTAATGAACTCAACCGCTGGTGACAGATGCTACCCAAAGGAGGTAATGATGGCGATTATTTTGTGTAATTACTTCCCGTCTAGACATCAGTCTTGTTCAGCTATGGTAACTGGGGGTTTGCAGGAAGAGACGTCACAGATCAGTCTGCTGACTAAACTTGGTAATGTTTGATATTTATTAATTGTTAAATGACCCTGGAGTGAGAGGTTTTCCAATAGGCTGTGCCTGTTCACCGATTCCGTTCCGTTGTGGAAATAAGTATTGTTTAATTTAGCCACACCGAGGTTTAGGGTGATGGGAAAACAATAGTGTGAGACAACACTAAGCATATACTGGATGTAATTACAAACAGACGTACCACATGTACGGATGACGTGGTCTCCCTCTGAGCGGAAAGAGTGAACGGAATAGTAGTTGTGACAAAATAAGGACTCATCGCCTCCGTCAAAACGAATACAAAATTAAAAGATTTCTTTAAACAAATATCTGGTTTTGCAGATATAGCTGAAAAATATCTGGTCCCCATACAAAATCCCAGCTCCCTTCCGGAACTGGTAGTTAGACTGTTTCACTGTGTTATTCCATTCCCGTGGAACGTACTAGGTAACATAGTTTTACGCCGGTTTTAGCAATTTCCAGCAATTCCACGGCGGAGCACACCAGAAATCCTTGCTGGTCATAGTGTGTCTCCTGGCTGGTCATAGTATATCACCTGGTTGGTCATAGCATATCTCCTGGCTGGTGATAGTGTGCCTCCTGGTTGGTCATAGTATATCTCCTGGTTGGTGATAGTGTGTCTCCTGGTTGGTCATAGTATATCTCCTGGCTGGTCATAGTGTGTCTCCTGGTTGGTCATAGTATATCTCCTGGACGGTCATAGTGTGTCTCCAGGTTGGTCGTATCGTGTCTCCTGGTTTTTTCATATTGTGTCGCTTGGTTGGTGATAGTGTGTCTCCTGGCCGGTCATAGTGTGTCTCCTGGCTGGTGATAGTGTGTCTCCTGGCTGGTGATAGTGTGTCTCCTGGCTGGTCATAGTGTGTCTCCTGGCCGGTCATAGTGTGTCTCCTGGCTGGTGATAGTGTGTCTCCTGGTTTTTTCATATTGTGTCGCTTGGTTGGTGATAGTGTGTCTCCTGGCCGGTCATAGTGTGTCTCCTGGCTGGTGATAGTGTGTCTCCTGGCTGGTGATAGTGTGTCTCCTGGCTGGTGATAGTGTGTCTCCTGGCTGGTGATAGTGTGTCTCCTGGCTGGTGATAGTGTGTCTCCTGGCTGGTCATAGTGTGTCTCCTGGCTGGTCATAGTGTGTCTCCTGGCTTGTAATATTGTGTCGCTTAGTTGGTGATAGTGTGTCTCCTGGCCGGTCATAGTGTGTCTCCTGGCTGGTCATAGTGTGTCTCCTGGTTGGTCATAGTGTGTCTCCTCGCTTGTAATATTGTGTCGCTTGGTTGGTCATAGTGTGTCTCCTGTTTTTTTCATATTGTGTCGCTTGGTTGGTGATAGTGTGTCTCCTGGCCGGTCATAGTGTGTCTCCTGGCCGGTCATAGTGTGTCTCCTGGTTGGTCATAGTGTGTCTCCTCGCTTGTAATATTGTGTCGCTTGGTTGGTCATAGTGTGTCTCCTGGTTTTTTCATATTGTGTCGCTTAGTTGGTGATAGTGTGTCTCCTGGCTTGTCATAGTATATCTCCTGGTTGGTAATAGTGTGTCGCTTGGTTGGCGGGCTATCACATGCGTGTATCTTTGCTTGATCACTTCATTTCACAACATTAGAGGTATAATCTAGCATGCTCTATCTAGTGAAGATTTTTTAACAGCTTCATGCGATTCTTGCTCCAACGTTGTTTGATCAGTCTTACAACATGCAAGGCCTTAGTAAAGCTTTCAAAAAGTGTAATCGTAGACATAAGGCGGCAGTTACGATTTGAATGCATCAGTGATGACAAATATGTCCGATGCAATTCCTTGTTTTCATGTGTACCACATGTTCCCGTGTTTATTCAGTTGAACAATATGACTTGCCTCCGCGTGTGTTTGTGACGATGAAGGATACCTTTTCACAAATACCTGGTATCATTACTATTCGATAGGGATTCATAAACACAATCTTATAACACAGTCCTAATCGTACAATGCACTATGCTTTCAGTAGGGATGTCTTACGATAAGGGACAGGGTTTTGTCTGGATCGGTGTGACTGATTAGTAGAGCCCGTGGTAAGGATTGGTGTAATTGATCTTGGCATAAAACCACACTGGGTCACTCCGTTATTCGACTGGCTTATTTATTTATAATTTTTCTTTGCAGTGCGAGATGCGAACAAGGATCGCTGGTATCCTCCCAAACACTACATCTCTGGGACACCCTTCGTGAACCACTCCGTCAATTTCACGATGCCAGACAGCTGACATCGTCACGGCACGTGCCAGTTCCGGGTGTGACAGACAGCCTGACCCTGTCCCACTGTGGAAACCACAGACACAGCTTCACTCGGCCACACAGCGACGAGGGTTCCCAACGGGTGTCTGTCTACACCCACTTGTGTATACTCTGCCGCCTCTTGTTGCTCAGTGTTGAACTCGGATCGTCAACGGCAACTTGAGAATGATTCCAGGGCGGTAACAACTCGGTGACACTGGGTCTTGGAATGTTATATAAAGAAAATGCATTAAATGACGTGGATGTCGTGTGATAGTAAGGCATAGATTCAACCTAAAGTCAAACAGTACTGAACTGTGATTCAAAGGCGGAAGTGATTCTCATGCGAAGTTAATTGTTATCTTTTCGTTGACGTACACTGATTAGCTTTGATTATTAGAGGGCGAAACTGGTGATGAGATATGAGGGGAGGAGATATGAAGTGGTGAGGCATTAAGTGAGGAGATATGAAGTAGTGAGACGGGAAGGGATGAGATATGAAGTGATGAGGCATTAAGTGATGAGATATGAAGTGACGAGGTATGAAGAGATGAAATATGAAGTGATGAGGTAGCAAGTGATGAGATACGTAGTGACGAGATATAAAGAGGTGGTGAGATAAAAAGTGACGAGATATGAGGTGATGAGATATAAAGTGACGAGATATGAGGTGAATAGACATATTCCAGCTATATGACGGCGGAGGGGAGTCATGAGATACGAAGTGACGAGTTATAATGTGACGAGATATGAAGTGTTGGGACAGGAAGTGACGAGATATGAAGTGTTGGGACAGGAAGTGACGAGATATGAAGTGATGAGAAATGAAGTAGTGAGGCGGAATGCGATGAGATATGAAGTGATAAAGGCGGGAAGTGATGAGGCAGGAAGTGACGAGATATGAAGTGACGAGATATAAAGTGACGAGATATGAAGTGATGAGGTATGAAGTGATGAGGCAGTGTGACTCAGATTTGCCCGATCCGAGGACATGCAGTTACGACACAAGCAAGACACCATAGTGAGTTGGCAGAAAAAACAATAAGCCAATCTCCGTCAAGACTCACACGCAGTAATTGAGTTGGTCTGGGGTTGTGAGCGTTCTAACAAGCGCATGATGTCAACAAGACATGTTGTGGAGTGATAGAAGCACTAGACGCAGTGAGTCCATGTAAACACGGGGCCCCCTTCACAAGTGTGCCGTGAGTTCTCACAGCCAAGTCAAATATGTCAGTCATTCTCTCTACATATATTCACCAAAAGGTGTTTCAATGCCGTTGTCTGCCTAAACAGTGACCTCAATTTACATTTGTACTTTGTGTAATGCACACAGCCCTTTATTGCTGACACCCCCAGTCGTTACAATCATTAAGTACGCAGGTACCCGCTTTGTTACTCTTCTTCAAACTTAGGTTTTATATTATTTATTAAAACGTTGATGAAATTATCCTGATTTTAATTCCGTGGGTGTTTATCTTGCTGAACCCGGTGTGTGTGAATATTGAACAGTCTGGGGAACTTTCTCACATCCGGAGCAGGAATTAAGGAAATCAGTTAATCAATGGAATAGTCAATGTCCAGGAGGTTCAGTGTGGGTTGTGACACCGTGCCTCGGGTGGAGGTGGTGTGGGACGGATGTGTATCGGGGTAATCGATAAGACAAACATTCCACCTTTCAGGCTTCCCTACAGCCCGTGTGTACAAATCGTGTGTAAGGCTCGTCGTGTGTACGGCTCGTGTGTACAGCTCGTGTGTACGACTGGTGTGTACGGCACGTGTGTACAACTCGTGTGTACACCGGGTCTGTACGACTGGTGTGCACGGCTGGTGTGTACGGCTTGTGTATACGGCTGGTGTGTACGGCTGGTGTATACGGCTTGTGTGTACGGCTGGTGTTTACGGCTTGTGTGTACGGCTGGTGTTTACGGCTGGTGTGTACGGCTGGTGTATACGGCTGGTGTGTACGGCTGGTGTTTACGGCACGTGTGTACAACTCGTGTGTACACCTGGTCTGTACGACTGGTGTGCACGGCTGGTGTGTACGGCTTGTGTATACGGCTGGTGTATACGGCTGGTGTATACGGCTGGTGTATACGGCTGGTGTATACGGCTGGTGTGTACGGCTGGTGTTTACGGCTTGTGTGTACGGCTGGTGTATACGGCTTGTGTGTACGGCTGGTGTTTACGGCTTGTGTGTACGGCTGGTGTTTACGGCTGGTGTGTACGGCTGGTGTTTACGGCTGGTGTGTACGGCTGGTGTTTACGGCACGTGTGTACAACTCGTGTGTACACCTGGTCTGTACGACTGGTGTGCACGGCTGGTGTATACGGCTTGTGTATACGGCTGGTGTATACGGCTGGTGTATACGGCTGGTGTATACGGCTGGTGTGTACGGCTGGTGTTTACGGCTGGTGTGTACGGCTGGTGTTTACGGCTTGTGTGTACGGCTGATGTATACGGCTTGTGTGTACGGCTGGTGTTTACGGCTTGTGTGTACGGCTGGTGTTTACGGCTTGTGTTTACGGCTGGTGTATACGGCTTGTGTGTACGGCTGGTGTATACGGCTTGTGTGTACGGCTGGTGTTTACGGCTGGTGTATACGGCTTGTGTGTACGGCTTGTGTGTACGGCTGGTGTTTACGGCTGGTGTTTACGGCTTGTGTGTACGGCTGGTGTATACGGCTTGTGTGTACGGCTGGTGTTTACGGCGTGTGTGTACGGCTGGTGTTTACGGCTTGTGTGTACGGCTGGTGTATACGGCTTGTGTGTACGGCTGGTGTTTACGGCTGGTGTGTACGGCTGGTGTATACGGCTGGTGTGTACGGCTGGTGTTTACGGCACGTGTGTACAACTCGTGTGTACACCTGGTCTGTACGACTGGTGTGCACGGCTGGTGTGTACGGCTTGTGTATACGGCTGGTGTATACGGCTGGTGTATACGGCTGGTGTATACGGCTTGTGTGTACGGCTGGTGTGTACGGCTGGTGTGTACGGCTGGTGTTTACGGCTTGTGTGTACGGCTGATGTATACGGCTTGTGTGTACGGCTGGTGTTTACGGCTTGTGTGTACGGCTGGTGTTTACGGCTTGTGTTTACGGCTGGTGTATACGGCTTGTGTGTACGGCTGGTGTATACGGCTTGTGTGTACGGCTGGTGTTTACGGCTGGTGTATACGGCTTGTGTGTACGGCTTGTGTGTACGGCTGGTGTTTACGGCTGGTGTTTACGGCTTGTGTGTACGGCTGGTGTATACGGCTTGTGTGTACGGCTGGTGTTTACGGCGTGTGTGTACGGCTGGTGTTTACGGCTTGTGTGTACGGCTGGTGTATACGGCTTGTGTGTACGGCTGGTGTTTACGGCTGGTGTATACGGCTTGTGTGTACGGCTGGTGTATACGGCTTGTGTGTACGGCTGGTGTTTACGGCTTGTGTGTACGGCTGGTGTTTACGGCTGGTGTGTACGGCTGGTGTATACGGCTTGTGTGTACGGCTGGTGTTTACGGCTGGTGTATACGGCTTGTGTGTACGGCTGGTGTATACGGCTGGTGTATACGGCTTGTGTGTACGGCTGGTGTGTACGGCTGGTGTGTACGGCTTGTGTGTACGGCTGGTGTGTACGGCTGGTGTATACGGCTGGTGTTTACGGCTTGTGTGTACGGCTGGTGTGTACGGCTGGTGTGTACGGCTGGTGTTTACGGCTTGTGTGTACGGCTGGTGTATACGGCTTGTGTGTACGGCTTGTGTTTACGGCTTGTGTGTACGGCTGGTGTTTACGGCTGGTGTTTACGACTGGTGTGTACGGCACGTGTGTACAACTCGTGTGTACACCTGGTCTGTACGACTGGTGTGCACGGCTGGTGTATACGGCTTGTGTATACGGCTGGTGTATACGGCTTGTGTGTACGGCTGGTGTTTACGGCTTGTGTGTACGGCTGGTGTATACGGCTTGTGTGTACGACTGGTGTGCACGGCTGGTGTATACGGCTTGTGTATACGGCTGGTGTATACGGCTTGTGTGTACGGCTTGTGTGTACGGCTTGTGTGTACGGCTTGTGTATACGGCTGGTGTATACGGCTGGTGTATACGGCTTGTGTGTACGGCTTGTGTGTACGGCTGGTGTTTACGGCTGGTGTGTACAACTCGTGTGTACGGCTTGTGTGAATGGCTGAAGTGTACGATTCCTGTGAACGGCTCGTGTGTGAAGTGGAGAAGGGCGAGTTGTACTGGATGCCTCTCCATGGTTTTATTAAAGTGGAGAAAGGCGAGTTCTCCTGGACGCCTCTCAGTTTTATAGATCAGATCATGTAAAACCAGACCATGTAAACCAGACCATGTAAACCAGGCCACGCATTCCAGACAAGCCAAGGACACTGAGTAAGCAACACATGCACATTAACAGGACAACCCCATAAGCACAGTAATATAAGCCTATTTTCATCTCCTTCTTACCTTTCCAAATACCGTTCGTTATTCAATATACTGACAAGACAGTGTACTCATCACTACAAAGAGAAGTCTGTAATTAATGTTACCTGGTTGTATCGATTGACAGCTGGCATCCACGTGTATCCCGGCCAATCAGCCCCGTGTTGCCGGCTACCTGTGACAATGAGCTGCGCTGAAATGTTTCAGTCAATGTAATCAGTGGCCTGATCGGTTCAGGTAATATCGGAAACATCGACCAGAGTCTATGCAGTGGTTGCAATAGTATGTTTGTGGATAGAATTTGTCACCAAAGTGTTTTCATACAATAAACCATTTTGTACTTCTATATAATGTACTCTTTGTTGTTCCTCATGTCCGCCAGACAAACCTTCTGTCGGCATACACGCTGACAATGTTATACCTTCACCCAGGTGTTGCTCTTCTCAGGGACTGTGTCGGCCTCATCACTTCCGCCTCCCGATAATCAGGAAACCCATTGATCGAGACGGGGTGGTGGGGTAGCCTAGTGGTTAAAACGTTCGCTGGTCACGCCCACGGTCCGGGTTCGATTCTTTACATGGGTACAATGTGTGAAGCCCATTAATGGTGTTCCTTGCCGTGATACTGCTACAAGCGGCGTAAAACCTTACGCACTCACTATTTATTGAGACGATTACCGCGATCTACATCTCAAGAGTCTGTAAATTGTGACTGTCTCTTTTCTAGAGCTATGTTAGAAGAGACGCTTCGAAGTATAAGGTGAGAAAGTTATTCAGGCGTAAAGCCATTGATCATTTTATAGAAAAGAGTTAATTTTAAATTCTGTCGTCTTTGAACTAGCGTCAGGAACTTGTCCCCGCATACACCTTATCGAGACTTGTACCTCATGTTGCTCCGCAAGTCGTCCTTATTGAGTTTAACTGGGGATTTCCAAGTCATTTCTTGCATGAATAATGCCAGGTGTTTATGTTTATAAACTTCAGTTATATGAAGTCATGTCATTAGAAGATGGAAAGATGCGAGTACAGAATAGTTTCCCTTTTTGTGGATTAAAAGTAACCTGTCATTTATCAGCCCGTCGAGAAATATTATTATAAAGTATATTTGCAGTGGTATTTGGGTCTTCTACGATAACATACTCTTAAAAAAAGAAACTTGACACTGACTTTCAAAATGTAATATATTGCGATTGTTTCAAAATAGGACACAGAAACCATAATTGAAACACTGTTTGAAGATCAATGTACACAATGTTCAAAACATTAATCGTGTCACCTAGACAGACACACGTACACGATACAGTTAATATCACAGGGGTACAGAAAATGTCAGTATCGGTTGTGCCCACCACGTGCATCAACCACCGCTTGACACCGACGACCCATAGATGCAATCAAGTTGTCAATAACACGCTTTTGGATGTGCTGCCATTCATGCTGAAGTGCATGAAGAAGCGCCGGAAGTGTTTGGGGCGGTGGATTCCTTCTGCGAACGCGTCGATCCAACTCGTCCCACAGATGCTCAATCGGGGACAAATCATTCTGGATGTTGTTGTGCTGTAAGAAGTCCTGACACACACGTGCAATATGTGGTCGAGCGTTGTCCTGCTGGAACTGTCCGCCATGAACGTTGACGTGAGGGAGAACGTAAGGCTGTAGGATCAAGTCTCTGTAACGCACACCTGTCAATGCACCTGCCACATGCACGAGAGGCGTCCTACCACCGTGATGAATTCCGGCCCATACCATGACACTCCCGCCGCCAAATGGGACAACCTGCTGCACACAGTTGGGGGCGTAACGTTCACCCCGACGTCTGTAGACACGTGCGCGCCCATCAGCACGTGTGAGTAGGAAACGGGACTCGTCAGTAAACAGTACATTTCTCCACCTTGCAGGTGCCCATCTAAACCCTCTGTTGGCACCAAAGCAGACGGTCCGCCAGATGACGTGGGGTTAATACATGACGTCGAACAGGTCTTCATGCAAAAAGTCCAGCCTCCCTCAGTCTGTTGCGTACCGTTTGATCTGATATTCTGCGTACCCCAGGGATCTGTGTGGTTGTAGACGTGGCTGTGGTAGTGCGGTCTCGGAGGTGTCGCAGCCGGATGTATCGATCTTGTGCTTGGGTTGTCACCATCGGTCTTCCTGACCTTGGTCTGTCGTCAACTCTGTTGGTGTTCATGTATCGGGTCCACAGTGCGGAGATTGTCTGTCTGGATACGCCAAAGTGCCTGGCCACTTCTTGCTGAGTTGTTCCAGCTTGTAATCTCCCAATGGCGTAGTTCTGTCGAGCTGCATTCAGTCTTGGCATTCTGTCACCGCCCCTACTGCCGTTATAAGGAATGTATGAACAGTCGATGTAGATTTATACCCATACAGCAGGGGGGCCTGCAAGCCTAAATGCAGGATCCTGTGCTGCACGTTTTTTACAGGCGGTTGCGTTTGGATGAAGCTGTGAAATTGATCCCCAAACGCTACGTTTATGTGCTTTGCATGTGTTTTCGCGAATTATAGACACATCATCTTTGACTTATTTGGTTCTCATTTAATGTAATTGTTTTAGATATTTGGCAAAAAGTGGTTTTACATCTATGTCAAGTTTCTTTTTTTGAAGAGTATATATACAGAATAGCAGCAAAACGACGAATATTGCAAGAAATGGTCCTAAAACAGACACCTGTCATTACAGAGTCTAACCCAGATCTATTACCCTGAATAAATACTCTGGCTGTTTTCAAGTTAGCCGCTGAAAAAACATTAGTTGGTTGGTTTGTTGTTTAACGCGCACTCAGCAATATTCCAGCTATATGACGTATACAGAGATGGACAGATATCTACCGACTCCAGTATTACAGAGATGGACAGATATCTACCGACTCCAGTATTACAGAGATGGACATATATCTACCGACTCCAGTATTACAGATATGGACAGATATCTACCCACTCCAGTATTACAGAGATGGACAGATATCTACTGACTCCAGTATTACAGAGATGGACAGATATCTACCGACTCCAGTATTACAGAGATGGACAGATATCTACCGACTCCAGTATTACAGAGATGGACAGATATCTACTGACTCCAGTATTACAGAGATGGACAGATATCTACTGACTCCAGTATTACAGAGATGGACAGATATCTAGCCACTGCAGTATCACAGAGATGGACAGATATCTACCCACTCCAGTATTACAGAGATGGACAGATATCTAGCCACTCCAGTATTACAGAGATGGACTGACATCTACTGACTCCAGTATTACAGAGATGGACAGATATCTAGCCACTCCAGTATCACAGAGATGGACAGATATCTACTGACTCCAGTATTACAGAGATGGACAGATATCTAGCCACTCCAGTATCACAGAGATGGACTGACATCTACTGACTCCAGTATTACAGAGATGGACAGATATCTACTGACTCCAGTATTACAGAGATGGACAGATATCTACTGACTCCAGTATTACAGAGATGGACAGATATCTACTGACTCCAGTATTACAGAGATGGACAGATATCTAGCCACTCCAGTATCACAGCGATGGACTGATATCTACTGACTCCAGTATTACAGAGATGGACAGATATCTACTGACTCCAGTATTACAGAGATGGACAGATATCTACCCACTCCAGTATTACAGAGGTGGACTGACATCTAGCCACTCCAGTATTACAGAGATGGACAGATATCTAGCCACTCTAGTATTACAGAGATGGACTGACATCTAGCCACTCCAGTATTACAGAGATGGACAGATATCTACCCACTCCAGTATTACAGAGATGGACAGATATCTACTGACTCCAGTATTACAGAGATGGACTGACATCTACTGACTCCAGTATTACAGTGGTAGACTGACATCTACTGAGTGAAGTTCGACGGAAGCTGATGTAGGTTACCTAATGATGAAGGTAGTCATGAAACATAAATACAAAGAGAAAACCTCTGTTATTTCCATGGTATTGATCAAACATGTAGTTATTTGTTGTTGAGTCCATGATTTGTGTAACTATTTTTCCAAGGGAAATTGAAGTAAATCAGTCTTCCTAGTTCTCATCCACTGTGATCCCTGTCTCCGGGATATTTCTTATGACACATGAGTTCCTTTGGAGACTATTTCCACAACACAGCGGACAAAAAATATCACCTTCAGATTATCTAACAGATGTAGAAAAGTAAAACAAAAGCTGCAGTTAAGTGTTTTATTGATTCCCTGTATATGACCACAATAGAAAACAGCAGAAAACCTCATAGAATGGTTTCTGGTATGCACATATTGGTTCAGCTCCACAGTTGTTGAAGATCATCAGCCATGCGACGAGCACCATCATTGCTAAGAGGATACAACTAAATTCAGAACCTCCATAGACAGGAAAATAATTGAGTGTTTTCAAGTAGTGACCAAAACAAAACCTTCCCTTGGAACTTATTAATATCCTGACCTGGTAAGAATCAACATACACACCACTGGTTCATTATATCAATCTAAATTTTAAAATACATTTCACGAATACTAAAAAGTCCAGAGGCACTGTCTCATTAATGAAAATCTTAAGCTGTAGTTTGGTAATAATAATGATCACATACAATAACTTTCACTTTCTTACAGCATAATATTTTTCTTCAAATCAAATCAATGAGAGACGACACATAATTTATTCAACATCTGTGCATTCACATCAACATCAAAGCTTTTAAGTTTCAGTTGAGTTACAGGAGGAGCAATACTGGTACAGGGCCCTGTTCCTCAAAGCAATTTTAGCGTTAAGGTGATCATAAGTCCCATACTTTACACAGGCTTACGATCATTGTTGTGCTAAGATTGCTTTGAGGAATGGGGCCCAGGGACTGAATGGCTACTGAAGACCACAGTGTCAATGTTTGTTGCATACCGATGGATTTCATGATCATTTTAACACGGGCTAAACCTTCAACACTCAGAGTCTCTGCATCATACATGCCTCTAGTGAAGAGAAAACAAAAGTAAAAAGTACCAAATATCAGATCAAATTATAATTTCAAATATGATTTTTCTATGGCATTGAGAACCTACCAGCAGCATGGAACACTTGTTCCTCTGTTCCAACAAGGTGATGTTAGGGCTAAGACTATTGTAAGCCTATGTTAAGGTATGGGAGTTACAGTCATCTTAGCGCTAAGATCGCTTTATGTAAGTGGACCCTGGTCCCCTGTTCAACAAGTGCTGAGGCTATGGAAGTGCTATACCCTACAACTTCCTGCTATATAGAAGTCCTACAGCTACTGGCCCTTCTGCTACATAGAAGTGCTAAGGCTACAGGTCCTCCTGCTATACTGAAGTGCTAAGGCTACAGGTCCTCCTGCTATACTGAAGTGCCATGGCTACAGGTCCTCCTGCTATACTGAAGTGCCATGGCTACAGGTCCTCCTGCTATATAGAAGTCCTACGGCTACTGGCCCTCCTGCTATACAGAAGTGGAGTGGAACCCAAGGGCACTGGATCCAACAGATCAAGAATCCTAATCAAGGCCAAGTTGTGATGCAGATCCTGGCATGGTAAGGGACACAACTCTGTAAGCAAATTGTGGCACCTCCAATGACTTGGTCCCCCCGTCACTCAATACACTAAGGTCAACTCTAGGGCTATGACTAATGCAACCCGACTTTATCTGAGTAGTTTCAGGAATTGAGCAAATTATAATAGTTCTGTAGTGCACCCAATATGATCACCAAATATCAAGTTACAATCTCACGGCACTATACTTTAATATACATGTACCACTAAAACATACATCTACTTTGAGTGATAGACTGAAAATGTGTTAGTAATGTTATTATCAGGAAAAGCAGAGACACAAATAATAGACTAAGGTCATGAGACATTGTTGAGGTAGGAATTAAGTGTTAGTAACAGCATAACACCATTGAGCTTCACATCGACAACATGATTTCCCTCATCTAAACTCACCAACAGGATAGGACTATATCAACAACAAACTACATACCCCCCTTGTTATAGTCATACCTTCTGTTTGATCATTTCTTTGGCTGTAAACTGATTAAACCAGTGTATCTGTAGACGCTCCTGATACATGCAAAGTCAAAAGGAGAAAGGAAACAAGCTACAATCAAGACAAGAAACATAATGCTGTGTGACTGAAAGTGAAATATGAAATTGATCTCATATGAGATGTCAAAGATTCCCTCAAAACAACAAGCCTGCGTTGTGTTAACATGTGACTTAAACCCTGCCCTGACATGGAAGCACCTATCAGGTAGTGCGAGACTTCATCGCTCTAAAGATGCTTTCTGTAGTGCTTCATCCACTATGTGTCGCATGTAGCTGATTGTCTCCCTTGGATTGTCACTGTTAATCACTGCACTTCCTGACACAATGACATTTGCCCCTGCCTGCAACGCAACACAGGAAACTTGTTAAACATTCCACACAACACAGGAAACTTGTTAAACATTCCACACAACACAGGAAACATGTTAAACATTCAACACAACACAGGAAACTTGTTAAACATTCAACACAACACAGGAAACTTGTTAAACATTCAACACAACACCGGAAACTTGTTTAACATTCAACACAACACAGGGAAGTTATTTTAACACTACTGTAAATCCTGAAATTAATTTGGCTTGAAAATAATGTTAGCTCCAGTTCCAACACAAAAATGTGTCACTTAATCATTGCAAGACCCAAAGGAACATCAAAAACACACCACTGATTTCTACTGGGATGTCCACTTCCGTCATCTCACAAGCTGATGATTTCCTTGAAACAACACACTACACGACAACATGTACAAAGTGGCACATGTCTGTTTAAGTAAATAATAACACACAAATATGTCAGTAGGATTTTATCAGTCAAAACAGGATCAACTCATTTACTTCACATAAAATCCCTGTACATTCAGGCATGTCCTGAAGTGCCAAGTGGCCTGCCTGACCCGACTACGATCTCAACCCCTGATAACGCCAAAGTCAGTGAAGCCTCAAAATCACCTGACCATGTCACCAGTTGCCATGGCAGCGAAAACGAAAAAACGACAACTATTATTCACAAGAAACATGCTGGGAAGATCAAGTATGCTACTGAACATGGCCACACAGGTGCTGCTTCAGAGTCTAGTAAACTGTTTGTCTGTTTAACGTCGCACTCAGCAATATTCCAGCTGTATGAAGGCGGTCTGTAAATAATCAAGTCTGGATCACACAATCCAGCGATTGACATCATGAGCATCAATCTACGCAATTGGGATACGATGACATGCATCAACCTAGTCCGCAAACCTGACCCTGTAAGTCGCCTCTTACGACAAGCATAGTTGCCTATTATGACAAGCATGGGTTGCTGGAGACCTATTTCTACCCCGAATCTTTATGGGTCTCTAGTAAAGTGACATTAGCCCAGATGAAAGTGCTGTATGGGTTATGAACAAAGCACATACACTGAGGAAGACTACTGACAAATCTCACAAGTTGATGAACTGCAACATCAGAGACCTGGTTGATCCTTACTGCTTGGAGAGTTAGACAAACTCGTCCACAAATACTTAACACAAACAAGGGCAGCTGGTGGCCAAAGGACAGAAACATTGAAACTGTAATTGATCATTGTTACATGAAAATCGCTCCTGTTTGTCAGAAAATGGTGACCCAATCCTTCAGACAGGGGCTGGTCAAGGCAGGACTTTGTGAAGTGCAAAGCAACGGAAGCTGCCAGGAAAGTACCATCTGATTTCAATCAGAAGTAAGAAGACTTTGTTACAAGTGAGGGGGAGACAGTTCCATCCCATGCCTTTCCATCTGAACTAGAACAGACTTAACTTTGACAGACAAGCATGAAGATCATTCTTGTTTCAAACTGGACATTCGTAAATTAGGGTCCAAATCATGTTGAGACATCGTAACTCCCAAACAGAGGAGAAAGAAACATGACGTTACAATGTTGCCAGGTGGCAATGCTTTTGGTGCCATACTCCCCCACAAGTCATCTATCGAGGTGTCACTGACTGGTGTGATGTGCAGTACTATCTCCCAGACGAGTGGCACCTGAATGGGTATTTTGACAGCAGACTTACACAAAACACATGAAACAATATTGCATGCCTGACAAAAACAACTTGCCAACTTTGATGTGTTTGCTGCACATCGATGTAGTTCAACTTTGTAGTGAGATGACTTGTATCAGCTGGCCATGAACAGTGACTACAAGTCTGTCATGCGTGAACAATTCGCTGATAGTTCGCTGATAAGGTGTTTGCCATTTGAAAACAGTGAGACGAGCAAAACAGTGAGACGAGCAAAACAGTGAGACGAGCAAAACAGTGAGCTTGAGACTCCGTGTGATGAAGTGGATCCATGCTTGCTGGATCATGTCAGCTTTTGACAGAAACTGTCATGTGTGGGTGGCACTAGTCTGGACTGTCTTACAAGTTCCAGTAAGCGTGACGAGATCAAAGTTGTTGACATCTGACAGAAAGTAGAAGTGTCCCCCGCTTAAGTGCCTGTATTGTGATGGGCTTCTGTAAACTGTCATTCTTAAACTGATTGAATAAACATTCATGAGTGAATGACGTTCTGTTTTTATTACAAGTGTTTCCAGGGTCAAGAGTCAAGTGAATTTGGATGTAGAAATGCATAATAAAAATGTTTCATTTTGTTAGCGCGAGTAACTAACAGTGGCATTTTTCACATTAATTTCCTGCTCACATTATTGACATGATTAATAGTACACACAGCAAAGGAAACACGTTCTAAATATTCAACACAACACAACACAACACAACACAACACAACACAACACAACACATGAAAAGGATTTTTAAGCTGTTTTCGCAGTGAGTGACCTTGACCTTCAAGGATACCTATTAATTGTCATAACAATTCCAGTTCCATGAAGGTGGGGGGTAGAATGAGTCTGCAGCAACCCATGCTTGCAGTCAAAGGTGATGGGATAGGGTGGTCAGGCTTGCTGACTTGTTTGATGCATGTCATCATATCCCAATTACATAGATCGATGCTCATAATGTCAATCAATTGTCTGGTCCAGATTTGATTATTTCCATACCGTCATCATATAGATGGATTATTGCTGAGCGTGGGGTTAAACAACAAAACATAGCAATTCCTATGGGGAATATAGGAGTTATCTCATGAGTGAAATATCCAACATGACTTGTGCTGCGCTAGTTTCAGCCACATGGCCAACAGAACCAATTTTCTCTGTAGCCATATTCAAGCTAACACATCCATCAAAGTCCATCATTACCGTGACAACGGATCTAAGTGAGTCTGACACTGACCTCAGCACACTGCTGGATGGTGCTGGGACCCACACCGCCATCCACCTCGATGTCCATACTCCGGTACTTGTCACGCAGAAACTGCACCTGGTCAAGACAAACACTGGAATTAGCTACAACCGATAGATAGGAATGCCACAACTGTGCAGCTCTTCACGGTGAATCTGTCTTGAGTTGCTTCAGTAAAATATATGCTCAGAAATTAGAATATAACTTACAAGCTGGAATTGAGTGAGCACTGTTTTATGCCACTAAGCAAAATTCCAGGCATATCATGGCAGGGAACACAAAAGATTTGATTCACACATTGCATCCAAACACGACATCAAACCCAGGTCTGTCCAGACGAGCACCAGGATACCTAGCCTTGCTCCAAGGCTGTACTGAAAGAAAAGTCCATGGATGTGTACCGGTAGTAATTCTATCCTCCTAATAGGCAAGTTTTGAAGAACTCCAGTCTCTTATAGGGACAAGTTGTTCTTATTATTTACATAATCTAGAATTATGATTTAGACTACTAATTATTGCCTTAGGGACTTGAGCAAGTCTACAGGCTAAACAAATTTATCAAGGGGAAGGTCATCTCATCAGAATGAATACAAGCCTATGTGAGACAGATATTTGTAACAATGTGATTCAATAACTGTCAGTTTCATATTCAGGTAGCAGATGACTAACAAGTTTGTACACACGAGGTAACAGCTGATGTGACTGTAAACCAGGCATGGTGTCCAGCTGCTTAGAAAACAAAAACAGAATTTTAAACAGATTGTTCATCAATCAGAAACCTACAATGTACATGCAGAGCTGTCACAATCAACTCTAAACATTATACACAAATACTCAAGGCAAATAAATAGTCGGTGCTGACCTTTGATAAACATTCCCCCATAAACTTCTGACCCCCAAAGCCTGGGTTGACAGTCATGATGAGGACGAGGTCCACCATGTCCATAAACGGCAGCACACCCTGTACACTGGTTGGAGGATTGACAGCCAGGCCCACCTGTACAACACACAGTTAACACCTGTAAAACACACAGTTAAAACCTGTACAACACACAGGTAACACCTGTACAACACACAGTTAACACCTGTACAACATACAGTTAACACCTGTACAACACACAGTTAACACCAATACAACATACAGTTAACACCTGTACAACATTCAGTTAAAACCTGTACAACACACAGGTAACACCTGTACAACACACAGTTAACACCTGTACAACATACAGTTAACACCTGTACAACACACAGTTAACACATGTACAACATTCAGTTAAAACCTGTACAACACACACAGTTACCACCAATACAACACACACAGTTACCAACAGTACAACACACAGTTTACGCCTGTACAACACACAGTTAACACCTGTACAACACACAGTTAACACCTGTACAACACACACAGTTAACACCTGTACAACACACACAGTTAACACCTGTACAACACACACAGTTAACACCTGTACAACACACACAGTTACCAACAGTACAACACACACAGTTAACATCTGTACAACACACAGTTACCACCAGTACGACACACACAGTTAACACCTGTACAACACACACAGTTAACACCTGTACAACACACAGTTAACACCTGTACAACACACACAGTTAACACCTGTACAACACACACAGTTAACACCAGTACAACACACACAGTTAACACCAGTACAACACACACAGTTAACACCAGTACAACACACACAGTTAACAACTGTACAACACAGCTAACACCTGTACAACACAGTTAACACCTGTACAACACAGTTAACACCTGTACAACACACACAGTTAACACCAGTACAACTGACACAGTTAACACCTGTACAACACACACAGTTAACACCTGTACAACACACACAGTTAACACCTGTACAACACACACAGTTAACACCAGTACAACTGACACAGTTAACATCTGTACAACACACACAGTTAATACCTGTACAACACAAACAGTAAACACCTGTACAACACAGCTAACACCTGTACAACACACAGTTAACACCTGTACAACACAGTTAACACCTGTACAACACACAGTTAACACCTGTACAACACACACAGTTAACAGCTGTACAACACATAGCTATCACCTGTATAACACACAGTTACCACCTGTATAACACACAGTTATCACCTGTATAACACACAGTTAACACCAGTACAACACACGCAGTTAACACCTGTACAACACACACAGTTAACACCTGTACAACACACACAGTTAACACCAGTACAACTGACACAGTTAACATCTGTACAACACACACAGTTAACACCTGTACAACACACACAGTTAACACCTGTATAACACAGCTAACACCTGTACAACACACAGTTAACACCTGTACAACACAGTTAACACCTGTACAACACACAGTTAACACCTGTACAACACACACAGTTAACAGCTGTACAACACATAGCTATCACCTGCATAACACACAGTTACCACCTGTACAACACACAGTTATCACCTGTATAACACACAGTTAACACCAGTACAACACACGCAGTTAACACCTGTACAACACACAGTTATAACCTGTATAACACACAGTTACCACCTGTACAACACACAGTTATCACCTGTATAACACACAGTTAACACCAGTACAACACACGCAGTTAACACATGTACAACACACAGTAAACAGCTGTACAACACATAGCTATCACCTGTATAACACACAGTTATCACCTGTATAACACACAGTTAACACCAGTACAACACACGCAGTTAACACCTGTACAACACACACAGTTAACACCTTTACAACACACAGTTATCACCTGTATAACACACAGTTAACACCAGTACAACACACACAGTTAACACCTGTACAACACACAGTTAACACCAGTACAACACACACAGTTACCACCAGTACAACACACACAGTTACCACCTGTACAACACACAGTTAACACCAGTACAACACACAGTTAACACCTGTACAACACATCTAACACCAGTACAACACAGTTAACACCTGTACAACACACACAGTTAACACCTGTACAACACACACAGTTAACAACTGTACAACACACACAGTTAACACCTGTACAACACACAGAGTTAACACCTGTACAACACAGCTAAAACCTGTACAACACAGCTAACACCTGTACAACACACACAGTTAACACCTGTACAACACACACAGGTAACACCTGTACAACACACACAGTTAACACCTGTACAACACACACAGTTAACACCTGTACAACACACACAGTTAACACCTGTACAACACACACAGTTAACACCTTGGAACACAGCTAACACCTGTACAATACAGTTAACACCAGTACAACACACAGTTAACACCAGTACAACACACAGTTAACACATGTACAAGACACACAGTTAACACCTGTACAACACACAGTTAACAACTGTAAAACACACAGTTAACACCTGTACAACAAACAGTTAACACCTGTACAACACAGTTACCACCTGTACAACACACAGTTAACAACTGTAAAACACAGCTAACACCTGTACAACACAGTTAACACCTGTACAACACACACAGTTAACACCAGCACAACACACAGTTAACACCTGTACAACACACAGTTAACACCAGTACAACACACAGTTAACACCTGTACAACACACACAGTTAACACCTGTACAACACACACAGTTAACACCTGTACAACACAGCTAACACCTGTACAACACAGTTAACACCTGTACAACACACACAGTTAACACCTGTACAACACACACAGTTAACAACTGTACAACACACACAGTTAACAGCTGTACAACAGATAGCTATCACCTGTATAACACACAGTTACCACCTGTACAACACACAGTTATCAACTGTATAACACACAGTTAACACCAGTACAACACACACAGTTAACACCTGTACAACACACACAGTTAACACCTGTACAACACAGCTATCACCTGTACAACACAGTTAACACCTGTACAACACACACAGTTAACACCTGTACAACACACACAGTTAACAACTGTACAACACACACAGTTAACAGCTATACAACACAGCTAACACCTGTACAACACACACAGTTAACACCTGTACAACACACACAGTTAACAACTGTACAACACACACAGTTAACAGCTGTACAACACATAGCTATCACCTGTATAACACACAGTTAACACCAGTACAACACACAGTTAACACCTGTACAACACACAGTTAACACGTGTACAACACACAGTTACCACCTGTACAACACACAGTTACCACCTGTATAACACACAGTTAACACCTGTACAACACACAGTTAACACCTGTATAACACACAGTTAACACCAGTAGAACAGACACAGTTACCACCAGTACAACACATGCAGTTAACACCTGTACAACACACAGCTATCACCTGTACAACACACAGTTAACACTAGCACAACACACACAGTTAACACCAGTACAACACACAGTTAACACCTGTACAACACACAGTTATCACCTGTACAACACACAGTTATCACCTGTACAACACACAGTTAACACCTGTACAACACACAGTTATCACCTGTACAACACACAGTTAACACCTGTACAACACACAGTGAAGACCAGTACAACACACACAGTTAACAACTGTACAACACACACAGTTAACAGCTGTACAACACATAGCTATCACCTGTATAACACACAGTTACCACCTGTACAACACACAGTTATCACCTGTATAACACACAGTTAACACCAGTACAACACACGCAGTTAACACCTGTACAACACACACACACAGTTAACATCTGTACAACACTAACACAATTAACACCAGTACAATACACAGCAAGCACCTCTACAACACACACAGTTAACACCTGTACAACACACAGTTACCACCAGTACAACACACACAGTTACCACCTGTACAACACACACAGTTACCACCAATACAACACACAGTTAACACATGTACAAGAAACAGTTAACACCTGTACAACACACACAGTTAACACCTGTACAACACACACAGTTAACACCTGTACAACACACAGTTAACACCTGTACAACACACAGTTACCACCAGTACAACACACACAGTTAACACCAGTACAACACACAGTTAACACCTGTACAACACACAGTTACCACCAGTACAACACACAGTTAACACCTGTACAACACACACAGTTAACACCTGTACAACACACAGTTACCACCAGTAGAACACACACAGTTAACACCTGTACAACACACAGTTAACACCTGTACAACACACACAGTTAACACCAGTACAACACACAGTTAACACCTGTACAACACACAGTTACCACCAGTACAACACACACAGTTAACACCAGTACAACACACACAGTTACCACCTGTACAACACACGCTTATCACCTGTACAACACACAGTTACCATAAGTACAACACACACAGTTACCACCTGTACAACACACAGTTAACACCAGTACAACACACAGTTAACACCTGTACAACACACACACACAGTTAACATCTGTACAACACTAACACAATTAACACTAGTACAATACACAGCAAGCACCTGTACAACACACACAGTTAACACCTGTACAACAAACACAGTTAACACCTGTACAACACAGTTAACACCTGTACCACACACACAGTTAACACCTGTACAACACACACAGTTAACAACTGTACAACACACAGCTATCACCTGTATAACACACAGTTAACACCTGTACAACACACAGTTAACACCAGTACAACACACAGTTAACACGTGTACAACACACAGTCACCACCTGTACAACACACAGTTACCACCTGTACAACACACAGTTAACACCTGTACAACACACAGTTAACACCTGTATAACACACAGTTAACACCAGTACAACACACACAGTTAACACCTGTACAACACACAGTTACCACCTGTACAACACACGCTTATCACCTGTACAACACACAGTTATCACCTGTACAACACACAGTTAACACCTGTACAACACACAGTTAACACCAGTACAACACACAGTTAACACATGAACAACACAGTTAACACCTGTACAACACACAGTTAACACCTGTACAACACACAGTTACCACCTGTACAACACACGCTTATCACCTGTACAACACACAGTTACCACCTGTACAACACACAGTTAACACCTGTACAACACACACAGTTAACACCTGTACAACACAGTTAACACCTGTACAACACACAGTTATCACCTGTACAACACACAGTTACCACCTGTACAACACACAGTTAACACCTGTACAACACACAGTTAACACCAGTACAACACACACAGTTACCACCCATACAACACACAGTTAACACCTGTACAACACACAGTTAACACCAGTACAACACACAGTTAACACCTGTACAACACACAGTTAACACCTGTACAACACACACAGTTAACACCTGTACAACACACACAGTTAACACCTGTACAACACACACAGTTACCACCAGTACAACACACAGTTAACACCTGTATAACACACACAGTTAACACCTGTACAACAGACAGTTATCACCTGTATAACACACAGTTAACACCAGTACAACACACAGCTATCACCTGTACAACACACAGTTACCACCAGTACAACACACACAGTTAACACCAGTACAACACACACAGTTACCACCTGTACAACAGACGCTTATCACCTGTACAACACACAGTTACCACCTGTACAACACACAGTTATCACCTGTATAACACACAGTTAACACCAGTACAACACACAGTTAACACCTGTACAACACACAGTTAACACCAGTAGAACACACACAGTTAACACCTGTACAACACAGTTAACACCAGTACAACACACAGTTAACACCCGTACAACACACAGTTAACACCTGTACAACACACAGTTTACACCAGTACAACACAGTTAACACCCGTACAACACACAGTTAACACCTGTACAACACACCGTTAACACCAGTACAACACACAGTTAACACCTGTACAACACACAGTTAACACCTGTACAACACACAGTTAACACCTGTACAACACACAGTTATCACCTGTATAACACACAGTTAACACCTGTACAACACAGTTGCCACCTGTACAACACACGCTTATCACCTGTACAACACACAGTTACCACCTGTACAACACACAGTTATCACCTGTATAACACACAGTTAACACCAGTACAACACACAGTTAACACCTGTACAACACACAGTTACCACCAGTACAACACACACAGTTAACACCAGTACAACACACACAGTTACCACCTGTACAACACACGCTTATCACCTGTACAACACACAGTTACCACCTGTACAACACACAGTTATCACCTGTATAACACACAGTTAACACCAGTACAACACACAGGTAACACCTGTACAACACACACACACAGTTAACATCTGTACAACACTAACACAATTAACACCAGTACAATACACAGCAAGCACCTGTACAACACACACAGTTAACACATGTACAACAAACAGTTAACAGCTGTACAATGGAATTGATGGTTTCTCATAATACCAATCACTGGATTGTCAAATATTTACAGGATGCTGTCATGAAGAAATACAAACTAATAACCTATACTGCTACTCCCTAGCTCCCTGTCTATACATTGTGCTTTTCTGTGAGAAGATTTCACTTCTTTTTCAAAGTCATGCCATATCATCATCTCACTGTGGGGGACCGTCGGGATCTTACTCCAAATCATATTAATCTGAGTAACCGAACTCAAGAAAACATGTTAAAGTGATTATATCCAGTTGGATTGGTATTGGAGGTTGATGTGTATTACAAATGTTATGATGCAGACTGTATTGCAATTCATATATTGATATATTGTATAATTCTAAATTTTGAATTTAGAAGCAATAAGAAACACCAGTGTATGAACTGAAGTTCCTAAATGGAACAAAACAAGATGCTGGTACAACATAACATTCACTCATTCCATAAAGATGCATGATTGCAGGTTCCATGTAATTGGCAAGTCGACAGTATTAAATGCGTGGTAAAAATCACTGTTTAAAATCACCTGATATACTGAGTATTAAAACATGATATTGTGATACGTATATTGGAAAGAGTGAACCTCAACCGATATGCCGGTAATACCATGCTTCCTTGATATCCAGGATGTTATATATAAATCAAGTTAGTTTCAATCAACTTATTCATGAGAAATTTTCAAATACAAAAATGAAAATAAAAATATATAAAACCTTCATTCCAGCCTCTTTAATCTTCCTGATACATCGTCCTGGATCCTCGGCTGCTTCCAAGTGGAAGGAGTACATGTCTCCCCCCGCATCTGCCATGGGCTCCACCCACTGCAACACACAACACACAACATCGCACACAGTGGAAGGAGTACATGTCTCCCCCCGCATCTGCCATGGGCTCCACCCACTGCAACACACAACACACAACATCGCACACAGTGGAAGGAGTACATGTCTCCTCCAGCATCTGCCATGGGCTCCACCCACTGCAACACACAACACACAACATCGCACACAGTGGAAGGAGTACATGTCTCCTCCAGCATCTGCCATGGGCTCCACCCACTGCAACACACAACACACAACATCACACACAGTGGAAGGAGTACATGTCTCCTCCAGCATCTGCCATGGGCTCCACCCACTGCAACACACAACACACAACATCGCACACAGTGGAAGGAGTACATGTCTCCTCCAGCATCTGCCATGGGCTCCATCCACTGCAACACACAACAAACAACATCGCACACAGTGGAAGGAGTACATGTGTCCCCCAGCATCTGCCATGGGCTCCATCCACTGAAACACACAACATCGCACACAGTGGAAGGAGTACATGTCTCCCCGAGCATCTGCCATGGGCTCCATCCACTGCAACACACAACACACAACATCGCACACAGTGGAAGGAGTACATGTCTCCCCGAGCATCTGCCATGGGCTCCATCCACTGCAACACACAACACACAACATCGCACACAGTGGAAGGAGTACATGTCTCCCCCAGCATCTGCCATGGGCTCCATCCACTGCAACACACAACACACAACATCACACACAGTGGAAGGAGTACATGTCTCTCCCAGCATCTGCCATGGGCTCCATCCACTGCAACACACAACATCACACACAGTGGAAGGAGTACATGTCTCCTCCAGCATCTGCCATAGGCTCCATCCACTGCAACACACAACATCACACACAGTGGAAGGAGTACATGTCTCCCCCAGCATCTGCCATGGGCTCCATCCACTGCAACACACAACATCACACACAGTGGAAGGAGTACATGTGTCCCCCAGCATCTGCCATAGGCTCCATCCACTGCAACACACAACATCACACACAGTGGAAGGAGTACATGTCTCCCCCAGCATCTGCCATGGGCTCCATCCACTGCAACACACAACACACAACATCACACACAGTGGAAGGAGTACATGTCTCCCCCAGCATCTGCCATAGGCTCCATCCACTGCAACACACAACATCACACACAGTGGAAGGAGTACATGTCTCCCCCAGCATCTGCCATGGGCTCCATCCACTGAAACACACAACACACAACATCGCACACAGTGGAAGGAGTACATGTCTCCCCCAGCATCTGCCATGGGCTCCACCCACTGCAACACACAACACACAACATCGCACACAGTGGAAGGAGTACATGTCTCCTCCAGCATCTGTCATGGGCTCCATCCACTGCAACACACAACACACAACATCGCACACAGTGGAAGGAGTACATGTCTCCTCCAGCATCTGTCATGGGCTCCACCCACTGCAACACACAACACACAACATCACACACAGTGGAAGGAGTACATGTCTCCTCCAGCATCTGCCATGGGCTCCATCCACTGAAACATACAACACACAACATCGCACACAGTGGAAGGAGTACATGTCTCCCCCAGCATCTGTCATGGGCTCCATCCACTGAAACACACAACACACAACATCGCACACAGTGGAAGGAGTACATGTCTCCCCCAGCATCTGCCATGGGCTCCACCCACTGCAACACACAACACACAACATCGCACACAGTGGAAGGAGTACATGTCTCCCCCAGCATCTGCCATGGGCTCCATCCACTGAAACATACAACACACAACATCGCACACAGTGGAAGGAGTACATGTCTCCCCCAGCATCTGTCATGGGCTCCATCCACTGAAACACACAACACACAACATCGCACACAGTGGAAGGAGTACATGTCTCCCCCAGCATCTGCCATGGGCTCCACCCACTGCAACACACAACACACAACATCGCACACAGTGGAAGGAGTACATGTCTCCTCCAGCATCTGTCATGGGCTCCATCCACTGCAACACACAACATCACACACAGTGGAAGGAGTACATGTCTCCCCCAGCATCTGTCATGGGCTCCATCCACTGAAACACACAACACAACATCGCACACAGTGGAAGGAGTACATGTCTCCCCCAGCATCTGCCATGGGCTCCACCCACTGCAACACACAACACACAACATCGCACACAGTGGAAGGAGTACATGTCTCTCCCAGCATCTGCCATGGGCTCCATCCACTGCAACACACAACATCACACACAGTGGAAGGAGTACATGTCTCCCCCAGCATCTGTCATGGGCTCCATCCACTGCAACACACAACATTACACACAGTGGAAGGAGTACATGTCTCCCCCAGCATCTGCCATGGGCTCCATCCACTGAAACACACAACACACAACATCGCACACAGTGGAAGGAGTACATGTCTCCTCCAGCATCTGTCATGGGCTCCATCCACTGAAACACACAACACACAACATCGCACACAGTGGAAGGAGTACATGTCTCCTCCAGCATCTGCCATGGGCTCCATCCACTGCAACACACAACACACAACATCGCACACAGTGGAAGGAGTACATGTCTCTCCCAGCATCTGCCATGGGCTCCATCCACTGCAACACACAACATCACACACAGTGGAAGGAGTACATGTCTCCCCCAGCATCTGTCATGGGCTCCATCCACTGCAACACACAACATTACACACAGTGGAAGGAGTACATGTCTCCCCCAGCATCTGCCATGGGCTCCATCCACTGAAACACACAACACACAACATCGCACACAGTGGAAGGAGTACATGTCTCCTCCAGCATCTGTCATGGGCTCCATCCACTGCAACACACAACATCACACACAGTGGAAGGAGTACATGTCTCCACCAGCATCTGCCATGGGCTCCATCCACTGCAACACACAACACACAACATCGCACACAGTGGAAGGAGTACATGTCTCCTCCAGCATCTGTCATGGGCTCCATCCACTGCAACACACAACACACAACATCACACACAGTGGAAGGAGTACATGTCTCCCCCAGCATCTGTCATGGGCTCCATCCACTGCAACACACAACATCGCACACAGTGGAAGGAGTACATGTCTCCTCCAGCATCTGTCATGGGCTCCACCCACTGCAACACACAACACACAACATCACACACAGTGGAAGGAGTACATGTCTCCCCCAGCATCTGCCATGGGCTCCATCCACTGAAACATACAACACACAACATCGCACACAGTGGAAGGAGTACATGTCTCCTCCAGCATCTGTCATGGGCTCCATCCACTGCAACACACAACACACAACATCGCACACAGTGGAAGGAGTACATGTGTCCCCCAGCATCTGCCATAGGCTCCATCCACTGCAACACACAACACACAACATCGCACACAGTGGAAGGAGTACATGTCTCTCCCAGCATCTGCCATGGGCTCCATCCACTGCAACACACAACACACAACATCGCACACAGTGGAAGGAGTACATGTCTCCCCCAGCATCTGCCATGGGCTCCATCCACTGCAACACACAACATCACACACAGTGGAAGGAGTACATGTCTCCTCCAGAACTTCCATGGGCTCCACCCTCTGCAACACACAACACACAACATCGCACACAGTGGAAGGAGATGAACAACACCTACGATAGGACTAGAACCAGCTTGTAATGCCTTTGGTTGACATCTTCCAGGCTGTTTTTAATCATCTGGTGTCTTCAATGTGCTGCTACTGCCTCGCCTGTATCAACGCAGATGGTAGTAACACCCGCCATTGACATCGTGGTGACCCCACCCCACCCCCTTTCAAGAGTGTGTGACTGTCTGCTGTCTCCTGTCACCAGGTAAGGGTTTTGCCAATAAATTTGTAATGATAAAATCTTGATCAGACAAAACATTTACACCACTGCGTACACCAGTTACTTTTTGCTGTCAGTATACTCATAATTCATAATAAAAAGTTTGACACTTTTGTTAATTATTTTCTAAACTGCCCAGTGCTTGCATCTCATCCGTTTTTTAATGTTTTGGAATCATTTTCAGGGTTTTCTTATTATATTTTGGCCTGAGTTAGCTGGGCAATCAGTTCTATTCTGACACAAATATTGCACTAAAGACCTGACCTGTACAATAGCATAATGAAGACAGTTTGTATCAAGTTTTACTCCACACTGCAGTGATGTGTCATCACCTTCCTCCGTCAACACTTGACCTGCTTCCTGGCCGTGTACCACACACACACATGCTGGATCATGTCGGATGCCCCATTGCATCTAGCACCCAATACAACATGCACAATCATCACACAACACCACAACGTACCATTTTGTTAGACCCGTGAAGATCCGGGGTAGAATAGGTCTTCAGCAACCCATGCTTGCCGTAAAAAGGTGACTATGCTTGTCGTAAAAGGCGACTAACAGGATAGGGTGGTCAGGCTCGCTGACTTGGTTGATACATGTCATCGGTCCCATTTGCGTGGATCGATGCTCATGGTATTAATCACTGGATTGTCTGGTCCAGACTCGATTATTTACAGACCGCCTTCATGTAGCTGGAATATTGCTGAGTGCGGCGTTAAACAACAAACCAACCAACCAACCATTCTCGTTAACTTACAAGAAAATTAAATACTACAATGTTTTACAGATTCTTAAAGAGCACATAAAAATGAAATTTACATCACTAAAGATGTGTCTTAATTGGCCACAATGTGATTCAACCGAAAAGTTCTCTCTCCGGGCGATGTAACAGAAATCCACTCACCAAAGTGAGATCCTCTCTGCACCTACTTGACAAAAGTCAATGTTAGCAGTACAGTAATTTTATTAACAGGCCGGTTTGATTTTTAAATATTCCAGAAATACAGCACCACTGTAACTGTGGTTCAGTTTCATATGTCTGTAGACAGTACTTACTTTTTTTGGATGAACTCTGGTTGGACAGTTATGCTAATGAGAAGTGTATTGATGTCAGTCTGTGCAATATTCAGACTAGGTATAGGTTTAGTGGTAGATTGTGCTGACAAGACTAGTTGGAAGGCACAGAATTTTGAATACAATCTACAACATGGGCTCCGGCACTGGGTGTGGGCAATCTAGTCTCAGTTACATCCACAGAACGACATTTAATCAACCTAATAATTGTTAATCTGTGGTACTTACTGAGTATAAACCCTTTATACACCTGTTTTCATTCGTGTGAGGGTGAGCTTCTCAAGAGGTCTAAGGGAGGTAACTCTCATAATTTGCCATGCAAATACAACAGTTTTTGCCGAAAATAGGCAATGTCATGCCATTTATTAAATGGCAAGTACTTTATCTACATAATAAGTTTACAACTGTTATTCATCTTGATTAATTAAATTATAAAATAAACGGAATAAACCTTTTCAGGGTCTGCAACCATCATGTGCATCTCAAAGAAAACTCCCGGCAGTTTCGGCCTCAGACATTTCACCACTGGATGCCCGAGTGTCAGATTGGGCACAAAATGTCCGTCCATCACATCCAGATGCATATAGTCAGATCCACAATCCATGAACCGCTGACATTCCGAAGCCAGGTTAGAGAGATCGGCATTCAAAATAGACGGTCCGATCTTGCATGCACATCCATTCGACAGCGCCATTTTGGTTCAACTGAGGTCAAGGTTGAAAGTTATCAATTAGAACTGATTTCAATGCATTTTGATTGGTTGACCCGCATATTAGTTTGTGAAGATGTTCAACACTGCTGTGCAATGATGACAGGGCATTTCACCACTGCCATATGTATAGCACGTGGTCAGTCTATTCTCGTGTTTGTGTAACCGGAGTGGTTTATGTGAATGAATCACCAAACGCAGGTTGATTTGTGGATGCCAGTTGTTTTAATACAAAAATAAAACGGCCCTGTGAAAATAAATACACAGAGTTACAATATGCACAATACGTACACATACAAATAAATCATTACATTATAACTTATTGACAAACATTAGAATCTTAAATATGATTATATACATTGTTATGATCAATCATAGTTAGCATGAATAGTTTTGTCTTACTGTACTGTAAATATTACAGGAGATTTATCATATAATAAATTGACAAACATAGTTTATCAATAATAGGTGAATGATGATAAATGCATTAATACATAACACACAATTAAAGTACATATCACTATAAATACATACAAAATATAAATGTCCTCACCAGGTGTATGGCACTGTGCCCTATGATGTCACAACATCAGACATTTGCTTTACAGGGACACACCTGAACATAAATATATATAACATAATTACAGTGTAACATATTACATCAATATGTTTACATCCTTAGGTATAGACAATAACCCTAAAATATATATTCTAATTACTCACCTCATCATACAGACATACAGACATACATTCATACATGTGCAGCTAGGTGCAGAACTTTAATTTACAGGTAAATAGCTCCAGTCTATCAATAAATGTACTCATTATGCTTAGTTACACAATAAGTTAAGTAATATCAACATGAAAATGCTAGTTAAGATTATCTATTATAAACATACTTACATAAAGTATTTAAGCAAATTTAGCCTAACTACATTTACCTGAATACGATGACTGATATGATATATATTTATCACACCTAACAATATAAGCTTTATTAAAAGAAGTTAAGAAACCATACATATGCACCTTAACAAACTCTTCAAAGCACTAAATAAGAACACATAAATATACAATTCAACCAAACTAACCTGTGACAATTGACTCAATTATATCAGCGATGAACCGACTGCTCCATACATAATCAACTACAAGTGTGAATTTAAACTGACCAGTCCCATAATGCACCCTGTCACTGAAAGTAAGGGGCTGGGGCTAAACAATAGAAACCAGAGAAACAATAGAGAAGGCAAGCGCATGGGTGACTGTGCTATTGTATTAGTGAAGCAGGTTAGATTGGAGTGTAGACTAAAACTTAGGTATTAAAATAAGAGGTGACCTTAAAATACACTTGATGATATATACATAATTACATACTACTACATTTGTATGTCAATACACGCGTTTATTCTGGCATGGCCCGGCCTAGTGCAAGCCTGTCTGTGTGATTTACATATTTTGCCTGAAAATACGACTCACTGAAACACCAAAAGGATCCAAATGACATATAGATCTACACAAATGTTTGAAAAGAAACTGTTTGCAAACTTGGATAGTTTATTATTTATTCCAAGTTTTAGTATGTCTATGTTAAACAGACAAAATGGCTTAAGTTAAGTATTCCGACTTTTATTTTATTGACAGAGCAGCTTGTGTGTGATGAACGGTGAAATATGGTGCACTGTAGACTTCCTGTTTTACATGGACACACAAAAGGACTACTGATGATGGCATTAAGATGTGTTATTAAACAACTGGAAACACAAAAAAACCACCCCTAACATGTTTTTTGTGTGTAAATTCTGGCATGACAATTGGATTAATGTGATGATGACGTCATGCAGTGAGACTGAAAGTGATTATCTGTGACATTTGAAGCTGCCTACTTTCATGGTCTCCCCAAGATTATTAAAACCAAAACTTTTCACCAAAACAAATCACAAGAAGATGTTCATTGCGCTGGTTACAGGAAATGAAATCCCTGAAAGATGTTCACACAGTTTTCTTTAACTAAAGTAAACTTTAGATTTGGTTATATCCAACAATGGTTTCAACTTTAATGGGACATTTTATGCTCATCGAAAAGGTGTTGCTATTGACACACGGGTTGCACCTACGTACATGACTGTACGTTTAAGGTCTCAACACATGAAATGAACTATCGCTTCACAGCCTAAACATAATTAACACATGAAATGAACTATCGCTTCACAGCCTAAACATAATCAACACATGAAATGAACTATCGCTTCACAGCCTAAACATAATCTAAACACAAAGTACATCCCAATAATTTAAACATGTTTAAATTCGGAACATGTTTATCACAATATTCATATCATTATGTATTGCCCTAATAATCTAAAATGCTTTAAATAAAGTGCAAATCAGATTCACTGGCACTTGAACGAACGTGGTACAATATTGATATAAAAATTTACAACTAAACAAAAGTTGACATTTGTGAGGTCAAAAATCTCCGTCTTGTACAGGTGGTAGGCTGAAGGACTACAAATGTAGAGGTTGTAGGTTCGTCCCCCACAGAGGTTTTAAAATGTTCTTAAATGTGATTCGGTATGCCTACTAGTATTTCTATCATACAGGAAGCTGACAATGAAAGTATATCTGGCTACAATAGACCCCGAATAATTTTAGGTTACCTCCCCCTACTTAAAATTTCTATATCCCCACTAAAGGCTAAAAAGCGTCCCTGCTTATGAATGCCCTAGAATCGAACGAACGTCAATTAGGTACTGGTATTTCTTACATTTGGAACCTAAACACGTTTAGCTATGACACATAATCCTAAATACATGTTTCTCAATGGTTGTCATGTCGTTGTGTGACCGCTGAGATAACCGTGAAGTGGAGGTAGGGTGGGTCGGGGCGTGGTGCATGGTGTGTGGGGATGCTGGGTCCTAATAGCTGGAAACTAGTTAATAGTAAAAAAACTTAATTTAATATGTCTTATTTGTATTGTTTGTGGAATGTAACAATCTATGAGGCACTGACAGGTGACAATGACATTTGTGGAGGAGAGATGAAAATGATAAATATAATAGAAAATAAGGAATAAATGAAAATCCCCAATGAACAAAGCATATATGCCAGTATTATGCCTCAAAGCGAGATTGTTCAAACAGAGCTACTAACCCAATATGAACCCGTATACCGTCAGTAAAAATCCAAGATGGTTGTTACTGACCTAATATGAGACCGTATACCGTCAGTGACACCCATTTTGAATTTTCCAACACCCACCTCACATATTTCACTTGAAAATTCTGGTACAGAGATTCGTTATCCGACTATGTTTTTTGTTGTCTCTTATACACGCCGAGTCAAGGGCTCTAGCGAAATTAACAGACGGCATAGCGTTAAATGGAGGAAATACGGTAGTTTGATGTCGGATTTTTGGGCGTTGGCTAGGCCGCAACCCTGACTGCTTCGATGATGACATTAAAAGATTTAACGAAGGCATATCTTTTGCAATACAGATGAATTGTTTATGAAACTGTTAGGGAAATGTTCCATGGTGACCAGAATCGGAACAATTAAAGCTATTTCCTCATTGAAACAACAGACAATGAAAGTAAAATATAACATTTAATGATTACAAAAAATGTTTGAATTTTTTTTATTTATGACAACATGTTGTTTACAAACCTTTTTGTGATCGATATTCGTTGCCATCTCCGTCAACCACCATCGTAAGGATTTGGCAGAAGAGGATTTGAAAGTCTATAATTCAGAAAATCCACTCGAAAATCCACGAAAAAACAATGTCCCGACGTAAATTGAAGTCAAACTTGGAAATTCATTTCAGAACACGCACAATTAAGAAAATCATACACGACCCACTATTTCTGGGTCACGAATGTCTCATTCCATTCACACTCACACCATGCAGATACTGAGATAGGCCCTACCTCGTGTCAAAATGTCCGGCTCGTCGGCAGGCTAAAAAGCGGCTGTTCAGTCATACTCAGTTCCATTGGTAATCATATTGTACCAGCAGGTTCGATCCTTCCCAGTAAATCTACAGGTTAATGTTGCAAGAGAGCACCGTTCTCAAAGCGTTGTTGCCGTCATGGTAGAATGGAGATAAACCTACTGTGTTTTGAAATTTGATGTAGTCCCACTGTAGAGTAGATACCTCTATATTATAATTTGGAACCTCGCGCTAAACCGCTCGGTTCAAAATTAAAATAAAGAGCCTCGAGGTTCAAAATTATAATAAAGAGGTATCTACTCTACAGTGGGACGACATCAAATTTCAAAACACTGCTAATTACACAGACCGTTCTTGTCATGAAAAATATGAGGTGCCGTTTTCGCTGGATATTCAGAAGAGGAAATCGGTGCCGTTTTAGCCTGCGCTATTATTAATCGATATTAACCAACTTTCGTCGCGTGATTGTATTTAATAGAAAATTAGTGTGAAAACGGGATGCCTAAATGATGGTTGACGGCCTATAGGAACTGACCCGTACTACTAGGTATAGGTTATCAATACCTGGATGTTTCAGCCTGCCATCCAGACCACACGAAAACAAACATTCCGCACTGTCTTGCAAGAAGAGTGTGTACGATAGTGTCGAATAGTGTCGAATCGCTTCCAAATCGACAAGATCATTTGGAATAATTTAAACACTTTTTAATTCTTTAAGACTATCCATTATACCTTGTCCTAGACAGCATTAAAAAGGCATCGTGTAAACAAATGGAAACAACGGACAAAAACATTTTTTACAATTATGTCCACCTTAATCCACACCACCGAAGTGCTCTTTACGATATGAATGTACCCATGCTAAAACAAAGTCACAGAAGTAAAGCCTTCTGTTTCGTCGCCCAGTCTAACCTCGGTCAGATGGATCTTACCTTCGTGTATATCTGGAAACCCCCCGAAAGAGTGCTGTCCATAATATACATTACAGGAAAAGAAACGATTCTGAGAAATAGCAGATGCGGATGTTTATGATACAGACGATATCTTTTTGTTTCGT